CTTACACACACACACACACACACGCACACACACACACACACACACACACACACCGGCAAAGTTTTGTACTAGTAGCACTTTTATGTAGCTCAATGTTTTATCTGTTCCAAGTAAAAGTGGAAAACAATATATCACCTTATGCCAGTGTACATAGATTTAGGCAAGTACATTCTGAATGTACATTCTGAACACAAATCCTAAATTGTCCAAGACTTTATAACTTAGGGCTCATTCCCATTCGAAACTCTTGATCTATGTAGATTGATCCAACTCTGTGGGGACTCTTACTGAATGTAGTCAGATTAACAGATTAATGTCCCCTCTTTTTACATTCAGAGTTTCAATCTATGTAGACTGATAGTTTCAAAGGGAATGAGCCCTTTATCGCATGTCATGCCTGAATGAGTTAAACTCTTGAAGGCATATGAAATTCCTATCCATTATATTTTTGAACTGGGTGATCTTTCTAGTGGCCTTTAAAGCAACAATGGGCTTCTCAGTTTGCTCTGCTGGGTCATATTTTGAGACAAACCTTTGGGAGAAAAAAAAGAAATGCAGTGTATTTGTAATTGAAGTTTGCCAAGCTGTTCTTCAAATATAATGTTACGCTGTGGATTTCTCCTGCATCCTGTTATTAACTCATAAGAGCCAGCTAGAGAGCCATGTTTAGCCCCAATTCTGTCCATTACTAGAAATGGATTTCCACCCTTCATGTCATAAAATGTTAATATACATAGCGCAGAGAATAAGAATTTGATGCTTAGTCATTACTAATATATAACCTCTAAATTAAGGCCATTGAAAACTTTTAAAGAGGGATAGGCAAATGGTTTATTTCCCCCTCCTTTCATCTCCTGAGAAAATACATTCACTCTGCATCAAGGGAGCAGGTTGTTTTTATCTTGTCACCTTTAGCCCTTGGTGAATGGAAAACCAAATCACTTATTTCAGTGCCACTCGCATTTACCCTGGTTCACTATTTCAGTATGATCAAAGCCGTGCAGGTACACAGTTTAATATAATAGTTCAGTCCCCTTTGCTTTAATTTGTTTGCAAGAATTGTTTGCCCAGTGCATACCTGCAATTTGTCGCACTCAGATTTCAGTAGATTTTATGGCTTAGGCTGATCTCCTTCCCCCTGCAATTACTTACATACCAAAATTTTTGCCAAATGAATTTGAAGATTTGACTAGCATAAAATTGATAATTTTCAGCAAATATCACTACCAGCCAGTATGACCATGAATTAATACAGCACTCTGAATTAAGTATAAAACCAATGTAAACTTTGGCAAAAAAAAAAAAAAAAAAAAAAAAAAAAACTGAAAAAATTAGAAAAATCGGAATAAGTCCAGACAAAGGAGCAAAGGTATATATACTAGTAAGCAGCTTACATATCTTTCCAAACCAAATGAGCTTCATTACATGTCATATCTTGCACTTGTTGAGCTTTTAGCCAAATGTAAATATCCAAATGCCACTATCTTGAATGGTCAGTTCTGTCCACTATCTCTGATGGTCAGTATTGGGGCTATTATATGGCCTGGTCAATTGAGAATAAGTCTCTCAAACATTTTCAAGTGTGAACCATGTTAGTAAAGAGTTTACTTCGCTTGTTAAGGATTTAGCCCTGTTCACAGAAAAGATAATATTTAAGGTTTTTGAATAAGTTATTCATTGAATCAAACACTTCCCAACAACCTGTAAGTATGACTGTATTATATATCAAAATCTCAAAACTAAATCTACGCGATTTGTGTTTCAAGCATAAGTTTACATTTATTTAACTCCTTTAAAGTCATTTACTTTTTAAAGACCCTGTAACCAAGGCCAAAAAAAAAAAAAAAAAAAAAAAAAAGGGCCCCACATGTTAAACTGACCCTTAAAGAACACTGGTCACCCACAAGTAGCTGGGGTCATACAGGGCACGGTGTTTCACAGTGTTAAGAGGTGCCCTCGTCCCCTTATTTAAATGTCAGTTGACATGCATGTCCACTACTGAAATATGACTCATACTCTGGATCTAAACTGTTAATCATGTATTCAAAGACAATGGGATGGAGGGGGATGACTAATTTAGATTTTGGGATTTTCATTAACATGATTCAGCTACGTGAAGCAGTTTGTGGTATTTTAGGCATTTACTGTGACCAAAATGTCATTTACTTCCAGGTATGAAACGTAGGTTTTTTTTTTTTTTTTTTTTTGGGGGGGGGGGGGGGGGAGAAGCACCATTTTTAGGCACTCAGCTGGCCTTGGCATGTTGATCCACTGTTAAAAGCCCACTGGAAAAACCTGATCTTCCGAGTTCTCATCAGATTTCATACATATTAAGTAATAGGGGGCATGTTGACAATAGTGATACACTCTGTAGACCTCTGCTTTCAAATATTGACAAAGACAGGTTTGAGTATTTGAACTGAAACATACATCATCTCATTGTTCTGATGAAATAAAACTCACTGGGTGTCTACAAATAATTTGGCCCTATAAAGACTGGTACGAACAATAGATGGATCTTTATCGTGACATTAAACGTGGACATGGACACAAGCACAAAAGGACAGACATAGAAATGAATGCACACACTTATGTACATGCACTCACCATGCATTTTCACATGAAAGCATGCATGTATACACTGCAAGTCAATATATGCATACAAATGCATATTGGATTTTTTTTTTTAGGTAAAATTAAATTACAATAACATATATAATCCTAAGTCATAAAATTAAATGCATGGGTAGATCTTAACTGGGGAATGGTGGGTTGGGGGGGGGGGGGGGGGCAAAGAAGACTTAAAGATTGCATCTTCCTTTCTTCTGCATATATTATATCTTATATATTACCTGTGACAGGAATGGTTTTAAATTAGCAAAAGTAGAACTGTTTGTCAAAGTGCAATATGTGCATACATTGTATCCAAGGTTTGTTAAAACACACACTGTTTCTAACATAAAGAATGCACACACAGTGAAGAGTGAACTATGGATACTAGACTTGTGAGTCAGAGACGTGATATTCCCCCTTCACCACATGTGATGATCAACAACCATAACATTGTGGTTTGATGTGTATCAGGGTCTGTTTTATAACTCATGGTGGTTTCACTTTCACAGTGCTATGTACTATGAGGTATGATTCAGCAGGGCAGTTATAAAAACCACAAATTACACAATCAATGGCAGAGCTGTATTAAATTATATTTGATGGGGGGAAAGAGATCAAGAGGATGGATTGAAGTTGTTAAGAGTCACTTTGTGCAGAATCAGGCCTACCCAAACTACCAGACTCGGTAGAAAATTTTTGTATTAAATGCACTGCATACAATTACATTTTATGAAGACTAAGGAGGAGGAGGGGAGGGGGGATTATACACCAGATTTGACCCTTTCCCCAAAATGACCACAGTGACTGTAAAAGTCCCAAGTGGAGTGCACCTGCACTACTAACTAAAAGTCTGGTTAGGGATATATTTCTCCAGTGACTCATTTCGTTGTGTTGGTTTTTGCCAGAGGTCCTGGCATGGAACACTAGGACATTGAGATGCCCATTGTTTTGGGGGTATATCAATTGATCATGCTTTCTTTTTACCCTTAAATCAGAGATGGGAATGAACAGAGGTTCCCATTGTTTGAAGCTACAGTACGTAAGATCTTAAGTTAGTGTGGAGTTACATCATGGGAAACACTTGTTGATATACTAGTAATCTTACCATATGACTTTTATCACAGAAGAGTACTAAATTTATTGATCTATGCATACACATTTATCAAAGCATGACACATCAACTTCTGCCTAATCTCAGCGACTGTCATAATTTTTAAACAGTTTGTTGACAAAAAATAAGATATAAACAAACTTAGAAACGATAACATGTTTTATCTGCGTAATATAATGGCAATTCTAATTAGTAGACCCTTTTTGATGTTAAAATATTTATTTAAATAGTCATGTAAATTGATAATTGCAGGCAGCAAATTCCCAAATAACGAGGTCACCTACACCATCAGTCAGTATACCCCCGACATGGTCGCGGCTGACGTGGATCGAGAAATTGCCAGAGCTTTTCAAGTGTGGAGCAATGTCACCCCATTGCGCTTTATACGACGTGACACTGGCAAAGTTGACATCGAGATTAAGTTTGTAGCTGGTAGTCATGGTGACGGCAACCCTTTTGATGGCAGAGGACGCACTCTGGCCCATGCTTACTTTCCACAGTTTGGTGGCGATGCTCATTTTGACGAGGATGAGCCATGGACCCTGAACACTAGATCTGGTAAGTTTTGTATTAAATGTCTGTCAGATATCTCTATTCTCATATTATGAAGTGTCCTTGTGACTAAAATCTATGTAAAGTTTCCATATATCTGCTGTATTGTGTTCTGGTGTTTAAAATAATCTAATTTTCTTCTCTGGGAAAAATTGTCATTTGTTCATTTTTTGTCTTTTATTAATTTATTAATTAATTAGTTTTTTTTTTCAAAAGTTATTTTATCATACAATATATCCTTGAATTGTCTGGAATGGAAATTTTGTGCAGAACTCTAAACCAACTTACCATAATCTCATTTGCTCCAGTATGGCTACTAGGTATACACAAACATAATATATTATAATTGTTTATTTTAGGGGTAAACCTGTTCCAAGTGGCAGCCCACGAATTTGGTCACTCTCTTGGGCTTTCCCACAGTGACGTGCAGAGTGCGTTGATGGCGCCTTTCTACAGAGGATATGTCCCTGATTTTAAACTGGACACAGACGATATCATGGGGATTCAGGAACTTTATGGTATGTTAATTGTGTAATTTGTTGATTGATTGTGTATAATTTGTTAATACATGTGGGTTTAATTAGGAAAAAGAAGCATTTGTGATTTGTTTTTAAAAATATTACTTGAAATTGCTTACAACTGCTAATTATTACAGAAATGTAATGATTGCAAAGGAATTTTTTAACATGGCGATGTGAAAAATACTTATAAATGTTTACAGAATGGTAATTTTATTTAAAACAACCTGTTGATTTTCTGTTTATTTCTGACTTCAGGTCGTGCACCAGTGGTCGTTAATCCTCAACCCAACCCCGCCACAACTACTACCATGCCTCCACCCCCCTCTGGGGCCCCTGACATCTGCAACATGAGAAACTTTGCTTTAGATGCTGTTACCACCATGTCAGATGGCAGCACCTACTTCTTCAGAGGTAAGAGGAGCCCAACTGACAGTGCTTAGAATGACATTTTTGTCTTATGTAGCTTTTTTTCTCAAAGCCATTTGGAATGAAGTATTTAGGAGGTTGCATGGTCACTATTGACTGACAGTGTTGAAAGACTTAGTCGAACTTAATACAGACTTCTTCGACCTTCATAAGTGAATATACTTATAAACTCGTTTCAGCTGAGACTCACCTTTGGCACAAATTTTCGGCTTTTTGCCCTTTTTGTTTACCACCTTTAACTTTTTGAAAAAAACTTATGATATTTTCTACTGTATTTATGTAATTAATATGCATTGCACTCTATTAAGGACACAAATAAATTTCTTTGTCCGTTCTTCAGGTGATTATTACTGGCGTCGCTCCAATCGTATGATTGATCAGGGTTTTCCTCGCCGTATCTCAGATGACTTCCCAGGACTTCCTGGAAATCTTGATGCAGCCTTAACCTGGCCTAATGGATATACATACTTTTTCAAGGTAAACCTACCAGTTAATTCTCGAACTAACAGTCTAGACTAAGTCTGAATTTTGTAAACAAAACTGTCAATTGGAAACTACAGTAAGTTTAGGGTCTTACTTTAAAATTTTAGTATTAAAATTAGTATAAAATTTAGAGATAAAAGCTTCATCTCAGGCAAAAAATGGGTTTTGTTACCACCTTAAATTATTTGATTTAGGTTATATTGTGGAAATAAGTAAAATTTTACCTGTTATCAAAAAAGCAATATTAATTCATGATGATCAACCTGTGAATAAAAGCTTAAGGTTTTGAAAATCCCAAAAGATATATTTCTGGTCCAGTAAGTTCCCAATGTGAACAGTACATATAGTTCATATGACTGGGATCTGCAAAAGAATTGATACAAATGTTCATCTCAATGAGAGATTCTTATTCCTAGCAGCAGAGGCTTCAAGTTTCTTTTTTCATTTCACAGGGTTCCCAGTATTACAAGTTCCGTCTGCAAACCCCCGTGGCCGGTTTCCCAAGACCAATCAGTAGAGGCTTCTCTGGTGCCCCTAATGACCTTGATGCAGCATTTGTGTGGAGTGGCAACGGAAAGACATATTTTATCAAAGGTAAAGAGAATCTGAGTTGTCTTTGAAATAAATCCATAGAATGTGGTCAGCACACTGGGTGCCTCTGGGATTTCAAAGTTTCTAAAGTCTGTTGGTTCATTGGGCAGAAATTATTGGGAAATATCTTACATTTATTCAAAAAGGAATAAAGGATTCAGTTGTGCATTTGTCCAAAGATGAAGTCATGGACATTCACTAACAGTGGGAACTAGGATGTTGAGAATGGGAACAAAAAACCTTTGAGCCTGACTTTGCTACCTCTCCTCTCTATCTGCATATGGTAGTTTTAAACACTGATGGTATACATATCCAACCCAGGGCTCCAGTTTAAAAAGACTGAATAAGCTATTTATTTTTTTTTTATTTTTTGCTTGACCAAGTCTTCTTAGATTACCAGAATAAGCTGGAACAAAACTCAAGGTAGCAATTTTCTTTTATTTGTTCAGATTTAAAATGACCCAACTCCTCATTTCAGGTGACAAGTACTACCGTTACACCAGCTACCGTGTGGACTATGGCTACCCCAGACCTCTCAGTGTATGGAGGGGGCTTCCTTCTAATTTGCAGTCAGCTTTCAAGTTTGGAAATGGAAGAACCTACTTTTTCAAAGACGACAAATATTACAGATTTAATGATAGAGATTTCCAGGTAAGATGAGAAATACATTTTTTTATTTACTTATTTCTTTATAATGTTTTTGTTCAAGCTCTTAACAAGTCTGAGATAAACTAATGAACTTACAATCGAGCCAACAATTATTAGATTGGAAGTTTTATGCAGCAGTGAATTTATTTTTCCACAGAATGTTGAAAATGATATTCAAGTGTCTTTAACTAGTAATACTTGGAATAAATTAAATTAAATAATGATTTGATTCAGTTCTCCGTTAAAAAAGTATTTTGATTATTATGTGATAATTATTGGAATAAATTTAATAATTATTTGACACTACAACAAGAAATTGTGTTTAAAATGATTACAGTGAGGAATTAGAAACAAACAATCCTTAATTGACAACTCTAATAACACAAACTACATCCTTATATTCACAGATTGACAACGGTTACCCTCGTAGCACTCGTCAGGTGTGGTTTGGCTGTGCATCGCCAGTTAAGGAAGTTCCAGCTGTGGACAGCAATACAGGGGGTTTCAAAAACACCAACCCCTTGGATGGCAACCAGAACCAGTGGGTTTTGGCAGGCGTTAATATGACCACCACCGTGGAAACGACACAGACTAGCGGGAGCGGTGTCGTAGCTGGAAGTCTTCTGTCACTTGTTGTAGCTTTCTGTTTGTCTCTTTGGTTATAAGGGCGGTGTGTTTTTGACTGGGAGAGAGAGTTTTTTTGTTTGTCTGCCTGTCTGTCTGTCTGTCTGTTCGTGTGATTGCGCGAGAAGAATTTACAATGAATCAGTATTGCACAAGAGCATTTACACATTTCTGTTAAGCTTGTATTTTAAGTACACAGACTTTTTTCATTAGATGAGAAAATATGAACGCCGTTATCCACTATTAGTGCATATTTCCATTTTTGAAACAAAATTGTAAACTTCTATTTGTCTTTGTTTAGTCATTCAAGTTATATTTCACATCCAATTTGTTTTTTAACAATTGTCCAATTGTCTTTTGAAAGATAATCTTGTATGTTGATAGAACAATTACATTGTATTTATACTAATGTGAACATTTTTAAGATATTAGTAAGATCATTTGTAGGTGTTAGAGATCCCCATTTTATGCCATTTGTATATTAAGTCTGCATTTTCATGACACCAGATCAAATCCATTTCTTAACCAGCAGGCATTATATGTAGCTTTAAGTGTTTTCTATCCTCCTTTATTTAATACTTTTTAAATTGTCATTTTGCATTTTATAAAAAAATACATTACAGTTCTGTGACATTGACTGTCATGTGACATGCGCTGGCGCATGTTTTCATACTCATGCAATAAACTGTTTGAAATTATTTCTTCATGATTGTTGTTATTTGATATGTTGAATGGATTACTGCTTATATTCTTCTTTGTTCAACTTCTGTATTGCTTTCTTAGACAGCATTCCTACCACAAAGACTTTCACCTTTACTGTTGACAAGATTTCTAGCCTACCTGACACAGAATTTCATGTTTTCTAGTTTCGTATGATGTTATGCAGTGCCAAAATCTTGGACAATTTCAATTGCAACACACCGAATGTGTCAAAGCTTAGTCAGTTGACATAATCAGTTAACACTGGACTTGTCTATCAAAGGCATTAGATCATAAAGGTTTTAACATAAGAAGACCAACAACCATTTTTCTGCTTACAAAGAAGGCATCATCTCTTACATTTATTTTAAAAAATAAAATGCCAAAACTGTTTGAGCTTGTATAATGCACTGGAGTGTAAGTATATTAATTTCCCTGAGGCAACCAAGCACTATACACTAGTGAAACACTTACACAGTAGACTCTGTATAACTTCTTTACACTGGGGCAAGAAAATGTCTTTCAATTCTGCAAAGATCTGAATGACTCCTAATCAGAAGGCTACATATCTCAGTTATTTTTGGACCCTGAAATCAATTACTAGTCCAAAAATTTTGAGTTACTCAATGTTCATAAGACTTGTACCGAAGCAAAATAAAAAAATCTGTTCCAAAAGATTGGTTTGAAATAAACAATATTTTAAAAAGTGAAGAAACGAGTTATGCAGAGTGAACTGTATGCACATGTACAGTGTAGGATAAATATTCCATATGACAATAACTGACATTTGCTAAAATTGATCAAACATTTCAAAATATCACATAACAGGATAAAGGATTATTTCTCAGTCCACAACATTTTTAAAGCTTAAAAAGTATATAACTGCTTAAAAACAGAAAGGTGTAACAAAATAGTTATCCAGCACAAAACGGGACTGAGGCACTTGATAGAGAATATTTCTAGGTATATCACAACATTTTATATCATCAGGGGTTGGGTCATAAGATATGACAACAAATATTTTCCACAACAAGCAATAAAACAATATAACTCTCAGACTGTTTGGGATAAAATAACCAAGTCCATCAACAAATGTCCTAAGTTTTTTTTTTTTTTCACCACAATGACCTCCAACAATGTGAAGGTCACAAAAATGTCTGACGTCCAGGAAGGGGTTTTTGAATCAACACAATTCAGATAAAAACGTTCTCTTATTTTCAGTATTCTGAACTGTTGAGTTGTAAAATAAAAATATTCCAAAGAATCATGATCAACTGTTAGCCCTGTGCAGCCTCGATAGCAATCATGACTTTCAGCAAGTGTTCTGAAGGTGTCTCCTTAAACCAAGTCTGTACCTGTTGTTCACCCTGCAAGGCCTCTAATTGCAATCCATGCACTGATGTAAACTTACATGGCTTTTTCCCTCCCTGGCCTCACAATGGGAAGAAGAGACCCCTACAAAAGCAGAGAAACAAGGTGCAGATTCAAAACTGAATTGAGTTCAAAAATGCTATACATCAAATTGACACATATTTGTGAGGATGGAAAATAACCATGATAATGGTGAATATTTTTACCTGATATTTGTTTGACTAAATGGAGAAAAAGTCTCTAAACACAAATGTGAGGAAAGATAATATCAACATGTATTGAAAAAAATCAGCATTTTTGTCTTATCTTAAAATTTTAAACATTTCCCCAAAATGAATCACATTAATTTTGTTTAAATCTTACCTATCATTTTAGTTCAATAATTGCTTTATCTCTAGACTCTTGCAAAATAAATTAAATTTCTGAGTACACATATTTCATTTTTTCAAACTTTATGGTGGTTCAAATCATCAACATGAAACATTTCTTACAAACAATACATTTCAGACATTCAAGCAATAAACAATATGTTCAAAATTTTGCCAGATAATACCATACCTCAATCACTGGGTTCTTCTTTAAGTACACTAGTCTTGCATGAGCCCTTTTAAATAGAAAACAAATTAACATATAATTGAAGTTCATGCAGTCATGGACAAATTAATTTAAAATTAATTAAATTTCAATTTTCTAAAGCATTAAAAAGGTCACTCAAGTAATTCTCAATTGACCAGATTTTAGACAAAGTTAAACATGGAAGGAAAAACAAAACTGAATCACCTGATGGTTGTTACATAAATTCATTTTTTTTACATTCAAGAAATTCAAGGATTATGGTGACTGCAACAATAAATATGTCATGTGAGATACCTTCTGATGAGAGATCAGTAATTGTTGGTGGGAATTTTTCCATTTCTATAGACCCCTCCCCCACCCAAAAAAAAAAAATGAATATTCTGGCATTTCCATAACTTTTCCCATGACCTGTTGGAATTCACGCTCACTTACGCGTATATGATGGAAGTGTATGTTCCTATGCCTGCACCCACGTGCCACCACGCATGCATCTGCGTAAGGGGTCTTAGCGCTGCTGGTAGCCATTGCCGAAGATGTCTAGACAAATAGAAAAATATATTCATTGGTAAAATACAGGAAACCAATTAGAAATCTGGATCATTGGTACTTGGGTGGCACCAGAGAAGTGGCAGTACAGATTCCAGTCTGTGTCAACATAGTGATACTCAGGTGACAACAGTTACAAGAGAGAGCACATTAATCTCAAATTTTGCAAGATTTTCAACAATTTCAAAATGCTCTTCTATACAACCATAAAAAAAATTAATCCAGATGATGTAGGAATATTCAAAATAGTTGCAATGAACTCCAAGCAAACTTCCTGAGCTAACTGTCAGAGTGTGATATTATAAGGATGTATACATGGAGTTTTGAAAATGAGAAAGGCAGGTGTTGGAGCTCAGAGGACTTGCCTTAGGTTTTCACAGTACAAGTTGTCCACATTCCACAGCAGGAAGCCTGTCCCATAGGTGAGGATGCCCATAACAAGCAAGAAGTTGGAATGTTCAAAGTTTCTGAAAAAACCAAACAGAAAAACATACTTGTCAAAAAACAGATGAATAGTATATAATTTTATTGCCTTCAAACAGGCAGGAGTTGCATCCTCTACAGTGAGTTGAAATGTTCAAAGTTTCTGAAACAGTCAGAAAGAGGAATATGCTTGTTAAAAAAAAAATTAAAAAAAAAACAGATGAATAATATTTCATTTTCTTGCCTTTAAACAGGCATGAGCTGCGTGCTCTTCAGGTCGGTAAGATCAACTCTGGATTATAGAAATCCATGACAACAGATTCAACAGCAATATCAGACTATGTCCTCTTACCTGTAAACCTGTATACTGCAGGCCACGATGGCAAAAACCATAATACCATAAGAGACCTGAAAATAAATACACAACATGCTTAACATTTTGCAATGATTTAGAGAGCTGAAAAAAGCATTCAAAGTGTCTTTTATACTAATGGGAAGTTTGTATACAAAGGTTTTGACTATACTAATGCTTGTGGTTCAATAAGATTGAGGGCGTATTCCCACAGATTTTAGATCGATCTATCCCCGTGGGAAGTCTCACTAGATTACTGTCAGATAATCCGGCTTAAATGTCCATCCCGCCTACTACAACCTGTAAGGAGGTAATTAACTTTCGTGCCCGCTCGGCTGACAGCTATTTAGCATGAACCCCCAGAGAGTTAGGTCGATCTAGTTTGGACCGATCTAATCTCTGAGAATGGGATCTAAGACAGACCTCCCTAAGATAAATTTCCAAGCATTCCTACCCCCAACCAAGTTTTACACAGATGGGAATTGGTAATGAAAAATTGGCGACAACTGATCAAGGTAACAATGAAATAAAATAATTACTTACTTGAAAAAATATGACATTATGGGTTGTTGTGTAAACCTGAAATCGTACAAAGAAAAAAATAAAACAGAGATAAAAGAGAACAAGAAATGAGCACTCGCTTTAACAAATGGTTTCTTATGCCACCTGCCACATATTTTCCTTCAATTCTAAAATATTCAGTGACACTTATTTTCCTACTTGCATGTTTTTCAAATATATAACAATCTTGACAGAGACCATTGGTATTGTGATAAAAATTCAAATATTTCAATTTTTTAAAAAAGTTGTTTTAATTTGACAAATGTATGTACCAATGTTTCAATACCATTCTTGTTTTATATTATGAAGGTACTTACAACAGTAACAAATAAGCAATACAGCAGCAATACACACTGCAGAATTCTATTGTGACTCTTGGGTGGACTCCCTACTTCGTATCTGGAATGAAAGATGAGTGCTGTAAATTACAAGCTTCACCTCTTACAGCTGAATGTGCTCAATACCCATTGTTATACTACCATTGCTCAATAGTTTATTGTTATAGTTGCCCATGAGGTGTTTTTCTATTAAAACTTCTTGTTTAGGTGTTCTCTATTAAAACTTCTTGTTTACATATAAACTCTTTGTACAGTGTATGCTGGCAGTATTTCAATCTTTCATAAATTCATCAATCTTTTTTTTTTTAATTTTGTGAGTTTCATATAACTGAGAACTTGCATCATATATTTTGGCTTTCAATAAATCTGCATTGAATATTTAACATCTAAAAACTTGAATGTAGAGATGAAAATGTATACAAGACCGATTTCCACATTACTTTTGGCACCTCCATCTTACTGCTTCGTCTATTTACTACTTACAATGTATAGATAAGAAAACATGTTCCCCAAATCATAGGCATTTCATCCAAAAGCTAAAAGAAGAAGAAATGTAAAATCGTCATTTGGAGATTATTAAAGCACTTTCATGGAAAATGACCATCATTTCCAAAGAAAGTATATATAGTAACAGTCACCTAGATACAGTTTGTATATGGACTCCTTTTTTTTTTTCAAATGAGGTCGACCCCCCCCCCCCCATAAAAAATATTGTGGAAACCCTGTTATTGATTTGTAGCTGGAGAAGTGACTTCACCAGAAATCATATTGATTCATAGTCTATCAAGAGCACAAAATGAACATAAATCTTAGCAAAATGCACATTTACTACTAAGAGGCACAATGTAATTTAGGATGATAATGTACCTTTAACATAAAACATGCCTTAGACTACTGACAAGCCAAAGCTCTGTCATGATAGATTTTGATTTTACAAACTCTAATAGAAAAGATAAATCTAATGCTAGACTTTTTCAGTAGTACAGGAAAGATCCAACATTGCAATTGGCACTACCGAACTTAAACCGGAAAATAAACTCGATTTGATAGTCACATGACTGGTGAGGTTATTTTAAGTGCCATACAAGGACATGTGACCTATCATGTGACCAGTGCAACAGGTCACTGACACTCATGAAAATCGTCAGTACCAGTGCATCATTTGCAAGTCCAGTATTAGTTTTATCTCTTCATCTTATACCAGTACGATACCCCACTTAGTCTATACTGGACAAAAATGAGCCTTTACTCTGTGCAAACTAATATCTGTGCAATACAGATTATAATTTTCAAATTACCTGACTTGAATACAGAAGTGTCATGTGGAAACACCAAGAACCCATCCCAACCACTGGAAACAATAAAAAGGAAATATTTTAACCTATAACTATACAATGTGAAACAAAGGTGTTAATGCATGACATATTTTCTTTAAGTGTGAGTGAGTGCTTTGTAATATGTGTGATGTATTTTATCAATAAAAAAGAAAAATTAATTAATTAGTAGATAAATAAATTTGACTTTACTCAGGACCACACTGTACAAGTGCATCACTTCATGATTATGATTACAAATCATTATATTACTTTTACCTCTCTGTTACTTCCTTATCTACATGTTCATCATGGCCATAGTTTAATAGCAACAGTGTAAGGGGGGAGGATGACACAACTGGTTAATTTGTATAGGATAAAAAGTATAATATCTCATAGAGGGAGTTTTAATTTTTTTAAAATTTATTTATTTATTTATCTATTTATTTTATTTTATTATCATTTTATTTATTTTATTATTTTTTATTTTTATTTATTTATTTATTTATTTATTTATTTATTTATTTATTTATTATTATTTTTAATGGCACAGACTACCAGGACACCTACACATTAGCCCAATGTGGCAGCCAACTATTCTTCCTTCAGCTGCGTCCTTAACTGCAAACAAGAGGCCAACCAATGGAGGCAGGATCATCATTACATTACTGATTGTGTTCCCTAGAAACAATAAATGTCATCGGTGATAATTAGTGGGTATGCATTGTATCAAGACATAATCTTCACAAATTAAAATAAATTAAGGCAATAAAATCAATTAAATCAAAGTAAAATATAAGGAGGTTTTCACTGGTATCTAAGATTTGTGACTCCTTACTCATTGCCCAAGTAGTGACTGATGTAAAATACACCAGAAGAAAGCTTTAATATATGTATTTATATATATATATATATATATATATATATATATATATATATATATATATATATATATACACAAGGAAAGCGCAGCTAAAAACTCTGTAAAATGTAGCACTCGATCTCGGCGTCTACTTACAAAATTCTGCGATGTAGAAAGACACTTCATAGTTCGTCTCGCACCAGTCCACAGTGGAGGTCACAGGACCCCAAAACCCAATCTTTTCACTTGGAGGAGCCATCTTTGTGAGAGCAAGAGCTATCCGTTAGCTGGGTAGGCAGGTCAATGTAATTATAGACCTGTAATATCCTCCCTAATGTGCACCAGGAAACATATCAGACCGCCGGAATGTTTATTAGTATCGATGTGAATGCTACTCCCTTTTGAAACTATCCATAGCCCTATGTGGTATTTCTTTCGACAATCAAATGATAGGTAAAAATTATCAAACTTTCATCTACATATAATTTAATAATCACAAAAATCATATTTATATAGAGTATTTGTGGTGCTTTTACTGCATAGATTAGAACTATTGAGTTGCCTGCTTTTTAATTTTGTTGCTACCACTCAAAAGGGATATGATAGGTGTAAGGTTTAGTTTACATTTATTGTGCTTGAGGAGCCGGACGTTCGGCTCATCTAATGCAACGGACATTCATTTGAATAAATGATAACTTTTCTTTCAGGTTGGCACCCATTGAGTTTGCACTCTATTTCATTCAACTCAGTGCCTTCGTAGGAGAAAGACCTACTTCACATTTTTGTTCATTTGTAGTTTCAAGATTTTGACTTACAATTTATTGTTTCAAGGATAGGCATAATTGGTGAGTTAAATGTATTGTTGTCAGCAGAAATATTTTTAACTTTGTGATGCATGTATTTATATTTAAAAAGTGAAGATTAAATTATTGTACTAAGAATTTTTATACATTTAGTTAAAACACATCTGCAGCAGAAGTTAAGTTGACACTTGTAATTTATTTCAAATATTTCATAACTAATTCATACTTAACAGCTCACATAGTGATTTGTATTATTATTTTTCTTTTCTAGTTTTTTCATGTACCATGAGCATTCTGGCATGAAATAAACAGCGATTCAGTAACAACTTATGCCTTTCTTCACTTTTCTTGACTTTGTGTGCTATAATCTGTAAAATTCAATTTCCCCCCACTAAAAAAATTGAGTAATTACTCAACCTTACACACTAAATTTCAAATTTTGTGTCACTTCTATATTGTTGGCTTGTGAATCAGACTTGTTGATAAAGAGAGAAAATGCATGATATCTCAGAATAGAACAGGTTTTAGAATCTGATCGTAATTTTCTTTGTTTTTTTTTTTTTTGTTCTTTATGTACAAAGGACTTATAAACATACATAATGGTTTAGCAAAATACATTTTTCTGTCCCAATACTGAAAACAGAGGCAATTAACCACTGGTATTTTATGATTATTATTCATCTGTTGTTGTTTAAACATTATATATATATATATAGTTTCCTCTAAGGAAGGTGCATTATGTAAGCAAATATAACTTATAATAATAATAATATTTTTATAAATATCAAAAATATTATAAATACATAAGTTTGCACATGACTCCACAGCTGTCAATAGCACTTCTATTATTCCAAAATTTACCTTGGTTATAGTTACCAGTGCTATAATAAATTATTTCTGATTGAGTAAAAGTAAAGCAGACATTAAAGCAAATGACATCATTTTTTTCCTGTAATTATTGCTATGTGCCCCTTATTAAGTTTCTTTCACAGATTTAATTAAGATGCATCATGTTTGGGTGGCTTAAACATATAAACTCACTCATCCTTGTATCCCTTCAATGAACTTCATCTGGAATTTAATTGTTTCACCACTACCCACAATAGCAATTATAAACTGACATAAATAAACAATGACTATCTTTTTCTAGCATCATTAATTTACTATTACTGACTAAACTTGTTATTCGGAGAATATCAAATGAAATTCAAATACGACAATAAAATGACATTTGTTTATTTTCAGAAAGACTGATAACAGAAAAATGGCATGTAACGGCGCAAACTGCATCTATAGCACACCTAGTAATCTTAAATTACCTCTCTGGTCTGCTTTACATAGTAAGAGTGAACATTCTAAATCCTGTGAATAGCTTATATTTATGTTTTTATATAATATTTTGTAAAATACTCAAGAAATGCATAATGGGTAGTTATTGTCTAAGAAACGTTTCTCTTTAAATTAATACTGTAACAGATATCCCCATTTCTTTGTTTGATAAGACTTATGTAACTATATAGTAATAAGAATATCACAAAGTTGTAAGGTATCATTTTATAAATTAATAGCCATTATACATCAGCATCAGCAAAAACATTTCTAAACATTGCAACAGGGTATATGTCAGGTTGCTCCTCTAAAGCACAGCTTTCCTGAAACTCCTTTTTGACAGTAATATTTTCCTTTGTCTCAGGTGCAATATCTTCAACTTGAAATTCCTTTTTGATAAATTTAGGTGGAACTTCAGTCCCAGGATCTCCATCTTGAAATTCTTTTTTGATAAATTTAGGAGAAATTTCAGTCCCAGAATCTTCATCTTGAAATTCCATCTTGAGAGACTGAATGGAACTCCCTGTTTCGTCCTGCATTAAAGCAGGCTCCTCTTGATTATATTTACAATGATTCTTTGTCATCTCTAGTGCAGTGTAATTATGCTCGTTTAAAAGATTTTTCCTGATGACATGAGGGCTCTTCCACTCGTGTGGATTTTTTGAAGCTTGGATCCACTCCTTCTGCACATGATCATATTTGACATAAAATTTCTCTTCATGCAACTGATGTTTGGCAATTTTCTCTCCAGTGTGACACATTTCATGCTGTTTACAATATTTTTTGATGAAGAAACCCTTTTCACAGTACTGGCATTTATATGGCTTTTCACCAGTGTGAGTCCTTTTGTGTCGCATGCAATGATAATTTAGAGTAAAACTCTTTTCACAATACTGGCATTTGAATGGTTTTTCTCCAGTGTGAGTCATTTCATGCCGTACACACTGCTGTTTTAAACTAAATTTCCTTTCACAATACTGGCATTTGAATGGTTTTTTCCCAATGTGAGTCCTTTCATGAGTAATACAGTTGTACTTAGAGGAAAATTCCTTACTACAGTACAGGCATTTAAAAGGTTTCTCTCCTGTGTGAGTCCTTTCATGGATTAGTTGTTTGTTCATGCCATTAAACTGTTTGACACAGTACTGGCATTTGTAGGGTTTCTCTCCAGTGTGATCCCTTTCATGTTTCAAGCACCTGCTGCTGTGAGAAAATCTCATATCACAGAATCTGCATTTGTATGGTTGCTTTTCACTGAGAGATTTTTCATGGTTTCTGCGATGCCTTGCCAGAGAAGAAGAGTGTTTGGTCTCAAATTGGCACAAACCACACTTGTACATGTACACCTGCCCACTGTGAATATTTGTGCGATTCTTCAGCATATTGGCAGACCCAAAAGATCTGTGACACGCGTTGCGCGTGTGGTTCTTCAAGTGGGCACGTTTTAAATGTTCCCTCAGCCTCAACGTGGGGAAATTCTTGTTGCAGTTATGACACTGAACATCCTCCACTTCTGAACCTCGCATTCGCACCTTTGAATGTTTTTTCATGCCTTTCCTGGTTGACATTTTCTTGTTACAAATCTTGCACATGGGTTTAGGGCTGCCATGGGCTGCCCTCAAGTGATTCCGAAACTTAGTCTGGTGGTGAAAGCCCATTCCACAGTCTTGACAATAAAGTGGGAAAAGGCCTGAGTGTGTTCTCCTGTGTCTGTTCAGTATGGACTTGGTCTTGTAATGGGACCCACAATCTGGGCACTGGAACGTTTCTTAAATGAATGTACAAGTAAGAAATGTTAATGTTCAATGATAACTCATAATTATAATATATCTAAAAGTAATCAAAATTAAAGCAGACATTACATAAAATAACATAAATATAATTATAATAAGGTTTAACAATTACAAACAATATATCAAAATCCTTTGCAAGTTAAGCAGACTTTACATAATTATAGTTACTGTTACTGTAATAGTAATAATAATGTTTTACAATTTCAGACAGAACTTATCAATATCTATCACAAGCAAAGACCCGAGTGCCAAAAATTAGTGAAATTTGGAGACACCAAGTTAAACAACTAAAAAGTAACATGTTACTTATTGTAAGCTTCTCAAATGACACAGTAAACTCACCTTTTGGACTAGATATCTTGTTTTTTTCTTCAATATCCTCTTCAGACTCCATGCCAAATGGCTGGTTACTGCTGCCAGTCCCATCATAGGAAAACATGTCAGCTTCCTCACCTATATAACAAATAACAACCGAAGAAATTAGTACTTGAGAAGGTTAAGAAGTCTCGTTTGTGATTACAATGGCAGTGTGTCAAGTTTGCAGTATCAGTGATTTCAGCAGAAAAAAAAGACATACTACTCAAAATATCGTGCAGGGTGTTACAACATGTATGAAGAAAGGTGGATTTAATATCAGATGTTTCAATCATTTATTTTTTCTTCTTTACCGACATACAGCATATATCCCATGTAACACTTTGTTATACAAACCTGTTTCAACCTTGACACCATTGTGCTGCCCTGACACTGTACAGATATCACTGCTCTCCATCATCACTTGTAAACCACTGAGGCCAGCCAGTTCAACACCCTTCATGTTGTTATTCCCTAGAAATAAAAATCGCACGATTTACAGCTTGGACATGTCTTTTACTTTACTGTCATTCTTTGCTAGTGGTTACAAAATGTTGAATTTGACCGAAAATTTCAAACTTTCTCTGGGAAGCTGTAATTTTGCAATGTGATAGCTACACCATCACAGTTTATCATTTCATCAAAAGGGAAACAGCAGATGCCCTTGTCAGGGCACACAAGAGAGTTGAACAGCTATACCCTCCAAATCAAAGACGTGTTACATGGGAGATATATTTGGCACTAAAACTAATGAAAATCTAATGGAATGTTTTTAGTTTTAGTTTAAATCATAAGGGGGTGTTGTCTCAATGCTTTAAAACTGGTTTTGAAGAATTCAATCCACATTCCATTATTGACAAAAATGGTGAATATGTCTGACACGGTAAAATTAATGACGCAGGAACAAAAACTTTTTATAATCATGTAAATAATAACAATATTTTTGCTATTAACCCTCAATCACCTTTCAGGGGCCTCGAAGGCCCGGACCCATGTATCTTTTGATCTCTCTTCGTTTGCATGAGGTTTTGAGCCTGGTCCTTTCATGTAATCCTCAAGCAACTTATACCCCCCATCAATGGATTAATAATTAGTTTTGAAATAATTTACACCATATGTAGAAATTAACTTTTCCAACAGTTAGTCCCATTTCCTGGAAACCGGGCCTCTGAGGCCCGGTCCCTTGATAATTTTACTTCCACATGGGATAAATAAGTCTATGTAACCTCAAATATCTTTGCTATCAAATGCTTTACACAAGCAATATCATCTGTGCTATGACTATCAGTATGGTCAATGAAATCTGCCTGTGAAAGATTCAAGACCTGGAGGAATTATTATTTATGAGTAATCAGACACCTTGGTCACCTGATATGCAGATATCAGTTTAAATCTATCATTATTACATACCTGATAGACTGCGCTACCTTTGCGAAACTTTCCATTTTGAGAAAAAAAAAAAAAAGATTTTTCCGCATGTTCCATACACAGTGTATACTCACCCAGGTGGAGGTAAAGCGAGCAAAGGACCGTTGTAACATGAAAATCTGACTCCCATGAAAATTTGACTCCCTCTCCACAAAACTTCATAAATCTTATTTTATTTGAGTATATGACTGTGATCTTGTAGTATGTAAAATGGAGGATACATTGGCACTTTTTTTTAGTTTGCAGGTGAAAATTTTCATGAAAAATAAGAAAATTAAAAATGTGCACTTTACCGCCCATTGTCTCCCTTAATTATGAAAAAGCTATTTATTTGATATTGGATGATCATTTCTACATCTTTCCTTTAAATTTACTTTATGAAGATTATATTGGAAATATTTGAAAGTTTGATGGTAAAGTATTGGGTGAATACCAACTTTGCAATAATTTTTTCTTACCTTTGCGATTATTTTTTTTTTTTTTTTGCACCTCAAATCCCAGGGGGGGCAACTGCCCCCCCGGAGGCTACGGCCCTGAAGACAGTCAGATTTTAAAGTTTATATTGATGGGTATCTATTTTTTTCTGTTGGAAGACCATCAAAATGGAGGATAGATCAACAATGATACTTTGGAATGCTGTCAGAAAATATATCTGGATCTGCTCCTGTTATTGACCATGTTACCTGTTGGGCATGATTAAAATCAGTGTTGACTGACTGTGCTATTATAAGCATTATTTATTATTGCATCAAAATTGACAAAATGACCTATTTTGCATCTTTTTTTCTGTTTTTTTGTCTGTACAACTGACAGCTTTGCTGCCTTGTTTTGCTTTTATGACAGCATCCTCCTTGCTCAAGCAGCTCCTTTAATTTGTTATTGAGACATACACAATGATGTCATGAGAATTTGGTTGGCTATCTAAATTTAAATTACATTCTTGTTTATTCTTGTTTTATTCTGTATCTTGTATAGCATGTCTATTGCTATATCAGTGTTTTTGCTTTGGTACCATAAGTACGATCACTGTTTTCCATTTACCCATTTTATGTGAGTGATAATGTATTCAAGTGTTGTTAACTTTAAAATATGTGCATCACAACAGTGCAATGATGATTATTATTTTCATTTCAAACACTGGAACGCACCTTTTCTTTTTTTCCCACTCTGACTGGCACGCCTATATCTACTGGTGGCTGATTTTCGAATACGTGCTGAATGTCGTAAATATAATGTTGGAAGCCAGGATGGACTGGTACTGTCATGCAGATAGGCTTTGATACCTAGAAAATGACAAAAACAATTCATTGATAATAAAAACCTACATGTATATTTACAAATAGAAATTGTACAAATACAAATAGAAATTGTATTGTAAAGTAAATGTGGTTAAAATGTGCATTAAGCAAGAGTTGTGACACAAATTGCCCAGCATAAATTGGATTTAATACATATATTGAGACTGACAGAAAGACTTCACCTGACAGGCAAAACATCGGTCAGAACATGCCTTGTTGTCACTCGTCACTAATCACACGCTCTCTCTCTCTCTCACACACACTATATATGAGTTTCAAAAAGACACAAACAAATGAAATATATACGTACCTCCTACAAAGTGCTTTGAGCAAACAATGGTTCGATCCCATTTCTCCTCCGATGTGATATCCTTCCTGTTTATCGCCTCCTTCCATAACCGTCGCCTTTCCTCAGACAACTTTTGCGTATCCTCGCCTTGCCCTTTGATGATTGTTGGTACTTTATGGAAACTAACATCTTTCTGTGAACTCGGTCTATTGGTACATCCAAATATGCCACATATTGGCATGGCTGAACTTTAGATAAGTGATAAAAAGCAACAAACTTCGTCACGCTTTCATACACTGTCCGGCCCCCACTGTCCTGGGTATAAAAATGGCGGGCACCAGAAGTCCGCACAAACTGATGACGTAAGGAAAAAACAATGGATACATACTACTAACTTGAGGAGCCTGATTAAAAAATTTCCCTAAATGTTCACAATTTTTTTTTTTATATTTAAAAGAATATATATAGGTAGGCTATTTCCTCTTTCTTAATATCTGTATATAGGTGTAGAATTAGGGGCGGATCCATGATTATTTGAAGGGGGTGGGGGGTCCGCGGATGCAAATCCGCGCCCTCCCCCTCCCTTAATTGTCGTGGGGTTTGGGGCCCCGAAAAATGTGGAAATTCAAATTGTGTACGGTGCCATGTGGTGCGATTAAGAACTATATGATTCAGTTAGTCAAAATAATTCTAATTTCAAGAGGGGACCACTGCCATGGTGTTTTTTTTTCCAGAAATTGAAAGGGGGAGGGGGGTGTCAGGACCCCCTTCACCCCCCCCCCCCCCTAAATCCACCACTGCCTGTTAGAAATAATATAATATAATATAATATAATATAATATAATATAATATAATATAATATAATATAATATAATATAATATAATTTATAAACTTATTTTTAGAGGGCAGATCTAAAATTAACACATAGGCCTATAGGCCTACGTGGCCCTCGATCTTTGAGGGGTTAAAGAAAAATGTGTTAAAAAAAATATTGAACATTTTGAAAAATCAAATATAAAAAACAAAGATATACAAATGATTTAGATATAAAATCAAATGTTAAAAATCTAAAAGCTACATAAAAAGTTAGCGTAAACGTAAAATGGATCACGTTTGGACGTAACAAGTAGGCCTATGTTTGATTTTTTAAAAAGAAATACAGTACATCTATTCATTTTTAGCTTAGGCCTATATATTAGTAAATTATTTTTTGTCACTATATTTTGGTGAAATCCCAATCCATTTTAGTGATTTAAAAACTAGTAGCCTACAGACTTGACATCTAATATGGAATGTTTCTGAGGTATGCAAAGGTCAAACGCTTTCATTTCTCAGAAAAACTCAGAGCTTGTGTAGTTAGGTGTGTCTCTACCAATTAACTGCATGACTACCATGTTTGTAATATTGCTGCATTGTGTAATATGCAGTGGATAGTGCTCCTTTGGGCTGTTCAAAGCATGGCTTTGTCGAAGCATATGGTTCTGTCAAAAAAAGTATCCATGTGCATATGTTGGGAACTACGGCATAGAACAATTTGAAATTTTGCCTCCAAGCTGTCGGTTTTGCAGTGCGTAAAATGAGTTCAGCAGTGTTTTAAAAATTGTTAATCTGTGCCAGAATGGCGCGAAAAAGACTTCCAAGTATTATGTAGTAGCCAGCACGTCTTTTTGCTCCTTGTGAAGATACAATTTTACTAAGACGTTTTTCTTGTATTCTGAGCGGGGGATAGGTATGAAAGCAGCTACCGTCATAAGTTTGCAACATGCATGTTCTGGGCGACCTTGTGGTAGACAGTCGGCAATCGATCGCTGGAGTCCTGCTACCGGTGTAACAAAATAGAGTCCGTGTAACAGAAAGACCGCCCTCCATTCAGTTTTAATGGTTAATAAGGTTCAAATATTTCCAATACATAGGCCTACTTCATAAAGAACCCAGTCAAAAATATAGTTTATGAAATTTTTATTGGGGAGTTTGATTTTCATAATGAAAATCTGACTGGGGCGTCACCTTTTAGAAGTAAGATTTCAATGGTACACCGGGATTTTCAGGACTACATAGAAAACGTACCCACGACTACCTTTCTCTAAATATTATGGTGAAAGCCAATGCAGTTCAGTGATTTAGAAACTAGTAGGCCTATATGTAGGCCTATGCGTCGCTTTTTAAAATTCTACTTGTTCATAAATTGTTTGCTAGTTCTATTTATTTAATAATTGGATTGGTGTAGTGTGTGAAAAAATTTCTCATTTCCTATGTGAGATATTAAATTTAAATAAAAGAGACAGTTGTTTGTTGTTCTTTTTTGAAGTGCCGGCGGACGATACCAGTCAGCACGTGCGCTGGTGGTACATTAACGTGTCACTTTGGATCCTGGGAATACGTAACTTTGAAACTAATCGTATGACAAAAGGCTTTTAAACCTAGAACTGTGTTTTGGACGTCGCGTTTTAATCAAAAAGATTCTATGCTCTGTGTGTGTGTGTGTGTGTGTGTGTGTGTGAGGGGGGGGTAACAGTGTGTGTGTGTGTGGGGGGGGGGTTTGGGGAGAACGGTGCGTAGAAGCTTAGGCGAGGGGATTTAAAGATCAGCCGAACGATGCGGGGGGAGTATCAGTGGGCGAACGTACTGGGAGTGAACCACACTGGCCAATTTACTCACATTTCAGCTTTCAAGAAAAGGAGAAATGAAAAGAAAGAAGTCTTTTTTAACTAGAGTCACTTTTCTTTCAACGTTGGTTCAACCATAAATAATTAATCACATCTTATACCCACTAAGGCTATTGTCTTATGTATTAGACAATGTATGTATCAGACAAGTATGTCACATCATAAATCAGTATCTGCAAAAACATTTCTAAACATGGCAACAGGATGTATCTCAGGTCTCACTTCTGGGGCAATGCTATCCTCAAACTCCTTTTTGACAATGATTTCTGAGAGAAAATCCCTTTGCTCCTTTGTTCTAAGTGTAATTTCCCCAGCTTGAAATTCCTTTTTGATAGTTATAAGTGAAACTTCTGTCCCAAAATCTTCAACTGGAAATTCTGTCTTGACAGACTGAAGTGAGACCCCTGTTTCATCCTGCATTACGGCAGGCTCCTCTTGAATAAATTTACTATGGTTCTCCGTCATCACTTTTCCTGTATAATTATGCTCATTTGAAATATCTGTAAGGATGACATACGGGCTCTTCCTCTCGTGTGGATTTTCTGAGGCTTGGATCCACTCCTTCTGCACATGATCATATTTGACAAATTTCTCTTCATAGGACTGGTGTGTGGCCATTTTCTTTCCAGTGTGGCACATTTCATGCTGTTTACAATATTTTTTGATAAAGAAACCCTTTTCACAGTACTGGCATTTGTAAGGCTTTTCACCAGTGTGAGTCCTTTCATGCTTTATACGAAGATTCTTTAAACTAAAACTCTTTTCACAATACTGGCATTTATGTGGCTTATTTTCACCAATGTGAGTCCTTTCATGTCCATTATAAATCTGTCTGATATTAAAACGCGCTTCACAATACCGGCATCTGAATGGGACTTCTCCAGAGTTGGTCCTTTCAGGCTGTATACATTTTCTTTTCTCCCGAAAGCTCACTGGCACAGTGAACCCATCTCTTGACTGAGGCATCTTGTTTTTATCTTCAATGTCCTCAGATTCCATGCCAAACAGGTGGTCACTGCTGCCAGTGGAAAACATGTCAGCTTCCTCACCTATATAACAAATTAACAACCAAAAAAATCAGTACTTGAGAAGGTTAAGAAGTCTCGTTTGTGATAAGAATACAAGTACGGTAGTGTGTCAAATTTGCAGTGTGTCAGCAGTTAGAGCAGAAAAAAAAGAAACACCACTCATTCAAACATCTTGCAGGGATTTTCAACATGTATGAAGCAAAGTAAGTTCAATATCAGATGTTTGAACCTTTTTCTCCCGTCTTCATGGACATAGCATATCAGGTCGGTAGCCAGCAATTTTAGAAGGGGGGGGGGTCCGAAAAAGTGAACCTTTTCAGGGGCCGATCTAGGATTATTTGAAGGGGGGGTCCGTGGATGCCAAGCTGACACCCCACCCCACCCCACACACACACACAAACTTGGCGTGGGGTCACACACACACACTTGCCGTGGGGTCACACACACACACTTGCCGTGGGGTCAGGGTCCGCAAAATGGCCCGAAAAATTTTGGTATTTCATATTTTATAGGGTGAACGGTGCCATTTGGAACAGTTTAGAACTATGATTCAGCTAGTCAAAATTTTAATTTCAAGAGGGGACCAGAAATTGTGTGTGTGTGTGTGTGGGGGGGGGAGCATTACTCACCATTAACACCCCTCTAAATCCGCCACTGCTTTAACAACAAAACCTTTCTGTACCTAGATCAAAATGGACCTTTTTCAGATAAGAAGGGCGGTTCTTTAGATTTCCCCCCCCCCCCGAACACCCCTGGCTACAGGCCTGCATATATCCCATGTAACACTTTGTTATACATACCTGTTTCAACCTTGACACCATTGTGCTGCCCTGACACTGTACAGATATCACTGCTCTCCATCATCACTTGTAAACCATCGAAGCCAGCCTTCATGTTGTTATTAACTAGAAATGAAAAACACACTATTTATAGCCTAGAATGTGTCTTTTACTAAAAGCATTTTACATCAAATAACCCCTCTTTCTACAAGTATTCTCTGCTCAAAATGCCAAAAGAAAAAATATTATTTTACCATGTCACTGGAAAATGTGCTTCGACTTCCCACTCACAGCTTCACTCATGTGTACTTTCAGCTAAAAATGACCAGGCAACTTCACATATAACACCATTCAACCTCATATGACACACACACACACACACACACACACACACACACACACACATATATATATACCCCAGTCCCCTTCATATTGTATATTATTTTAGAAGCCCCTGATATTAGAGGGTAATACAATATATGATGATGTTATCCCACCTTTACATTGAGATTTAGGTCTAGACTGTTCAGCTTCTAATCTTTTTGGCAGTTTCATTCCCTTCAGCTGGGTCCCTCTTGTTACTAATCTCTGAAAATATAAGGGCAACACTCAACGTACATGTTGATGAAGTAAGATTATTCCATTCATTCTCCTGAAATAAACTTACACACAGTGGTAATTATACCCTAAAGATAAGCTAAAAAAACTTAACAAGTGATTGAAAAAAATCTCCACAGCTTATATACAGTATATGCTGTCATCATTTACTTTAAAATCATATAATTTATCATAAATATAAAATAGAAAAGTACTGGAAAAACTTACGGAAGAATTTGCATTCTCATTACCATCCATGGCATCTTGTGCCTCTGTATAATGACTATCTCCCAGATCTTCTGCTGGTTGGCCCTTGGTCTCATAATCTTGTAACATCTGGGGATATAATAATAAAAATTATAACTTCATTAACATATATACTTCAGTTAAAATTCTTGGCGAACATTTTGCCTTAATTTTTTTTATTATACTAGGCAAAGTGGTAAGGGCCTGTATCTTGCATGCTAGGCTAATTACGAACAGTTGAAAACCTAATAAATACATTTTAAATCAAAATACCCCGATACACGTAATTTTAAAAAGAGCAACCAAAGGCCCCAGTTCATAGAGAATTTTCTGTTGTGTCACCTTCTGGAAAGACATTAAAAATTCTTTTGACATGCTCTACTCAATCCTTATTAATCTTATAAGAACTCATGAGTACTGTAAAATGATTCTGATATATGTTTCTTCTTAAAACATCTTGCTACAACAGCTAGAAACAAATTTTGTTGTTTGTTTGCACATAGCATTTGGGAAAAGATATACTACTCCAACAATGAAATAAGGATTAAACAGTAAAAAAAATGGGGAGCATGAGCAAATATATAAGGAACCAATTCAAAATCTGTCAAATGTTCAAACTATAGAGGGGCAATTATAATATCATTATTTGTACTGTACATGTACATGCAGTAGCATATTATATGCTGCTACGCTTTATATATCCCCTTATATCTTAACAAGTCATACTGATTTGAACAGGTATAACTTACCCTCAAAATCTCCCTTTTCCTGTATGCAGACCTCAGCAGTTTATCACCGTTGGCTTTAATAGTTGCACTTGCAGTTTCATGTGACTCTGTTGGGGCAACTTCATTCACTGGAGTGAGAACGTGTATCGTTGGTACAGCGTCTGGTAATAAGTTCTTTAGTACTATTTGATCTTCCTTCCCCATATTCCTCAGCAACTGATACTTCAAAGGGTAGCACTTAACATCAAAATGTTTCTCACAAAGTGCCGAATACCGGGAGGGCTCCAGGAAATCTCTCCTTGTAGTTTTCACAAATGCAATCCACTGCCTCCTAATTGCAGGCGCTTTTGTCGATTTTGGGAATAAATGAAATGACAGCTTGTCTGCAGAGCTGCTTGTGCAACCGTAGGCTACACAGAAGCGTCCTTTTCCCTTTCGAACTTTCCCCATTTTCGGAATAACTGATGTGTACACTTGTTACGCTCCACAGGGTCACGGATCACCATTACCGTTTCACTTCCGCTTTAGCCTCGTATTCGAGGTTTTGGGGTTAGGCTTCGTTCACATGCAATGTCTATTTTCTAAATTCTATTTTCTATTTGCGGTATGTCTTATGATCACGGTCTGTGGCCTGAATATCCCGCGGCGTAATTACCCAGCGGGCAAATCAACATTGAATCAATGTTGAATCAACGTCGATGGTCAACGTTGAAACTATGTTGATATGACGTTGACTATGAAAGTTGACNAAGTTTCCTAAAAAGTAAATACCCTTACTGAAACAAAAGTGAAAGTTCACTTCTGTGTAAGACTATGGTTAACGTTTTAAGAGAACGGGTCGAGCTTGATAAGGAAGTATATGTTAGCTGAGCAAGCCATGACCGTGTGAAGTAAAAAATATTAAAATTAAAACTCAAACGAGAAGTAGTCTCGATTATTTTAGATGGTGATAACAAATTCACCAAAAAGCTATTTTTCATATATCCTTATTAATTCTGATGATAACATACCTTCGCTGGATCCGTCATTTTGTTGCCTTTTTGTAATGATTATAGTATGAGTGATCGTTTTTGTCTAGAATTTTCGGTCTGAAGAAGAGAGAAGCACATGCGAAGCAAGGTCATTCAAGAAAAGCCCTACGTTTAAAGTTACCATTTAGCATCATACCATTTCGTTTTATACTATTAACTAAATATGATATAATAGCTGGCGAAAATATATTCCTATTACACGCAGTTTTGGCTAGTTTTTATCATTCGGTGAACTTTCTTGAAATAACTCATGTATAGTATCGGTTGTTAGCTGCAACCATTTTTCGCCTCGTGTCTGCAGCAGTGAGCTTTTAGGTTGGGTATAATACTTAAACTGCAGGGGGCATACTTCTTTAACAGTTTGCTTGGGCGCCTTACTCATGTTTAGGAGAAAACTACAAGCATTAGATTATCCAAATCCAAATAATTTTACCACTGACGGTAAGACTTTCATTGGACAAATACCTTTCAATGTATTTATTATAAACATATTTAATGACTAACAGTTGTTTTATATTATTTCAGTTTACACTTTTATATACATATAAAAATAAAACTATCAATGCCAAAAAGACAGTTTGTACTTCTTCCAGTCTTAGACAAGAAAAAAAGCACTTATTTGAAGTACCAGTGTTCAACACTGGCACTGTTGAAATGAACTGTTTTTCTCTCTCTTTTGGCATATAATGAGTCTTGTACAAGTTTATTATTTAATAGAAATTTATTATATTTTAATTGTTTTATATATTTTTGAAGTAAATCATCACATAATATTTATGCTCCATAGATGAAAGCAAGTTTCGCTTGTTTGTGGTTTGGCTGGAGGACCAGAAAATCCGACACTACAAAATAGAAGAACGTGCTAAGCTTAGGAAAACCGAGGCTCCTGAATGGGACTCAGCATTTAACGAGGTATGATTATACTTACATCAATTGAGCATCATGGACACACTTAAAATTATATCTCCATATTATAACTTTGACAATAATTGGTCATCTGGACTAGTAGTTCTCAGAAGTTAGTTGTTCTCATGCTTACTATGCATTTGTCAAGTCATGTGCATTGTTCATTTTTGCTCTTGCTAGCAAGTCTAAATTATACCAGCCCAACAGATTTTTTAAGTTTTGAATTCCGCTGTCTTAGTTAAGTGAAAAAAATGTTCAGTGGCATTGTTTTGTCTTAAATTGCAGAGTGACTAGATATAAATTTTCAGGTCCATATTTCTATTTCAGTATCTTCAAGATCTAGGGTGCCCTATCAAATCTCATGATAGGAATGCAGTGACAGAATGGTTGCTTGGCTATGCTGTACGTCTAGTATATGGAGATAATGGTATAATAATATAAATACCTCTATCTCTCTCTCTCTCTCTCTCTCTCTCTCTCTCTCTCATGTGTTTCAATTGTGATGTAACATCATAGTTGACAAAATTTGTTTTGCAAAGTCATCTTATCACAGGGCCAGTAAAATGTCCTTGAATGATTGGATCTTTTAAAATATATTAATATTATAGTTTACCTTGATACTTTGTCTTTTGAGTAGTATCCAAATACAAAGAAGCTTCATATAACCTGGAAACCAAAGAAAAACCTCAAATCCAGTCAGCAAATCCTTTAGATAATATGGATTGTAAGTATGATTAACTGAGAGGCTTAACTGTCATCTTACACACTCTTAAGATATTACATAGTTATAACAGCATCTCAACATATTGGCATATATACCCTAAGAAGCTCTTTTTGAGATTATACTGCACTATCTCATTGTACAGATTCATATTTTACAATAAGTACACTGAAACAACTCATTGAAATATATTAAATTCCATTTCACCACCAAAACAGCAGTAATAATTGCAATTATTCTAGAATCTGGTTGCCATTAAGCCACGTGGACCTTCATAGGTGGCTGTACCTCCATTATAGTTAATGAAGATACAGAGTTAAACAGTAAAAAAAATATGATGACATTGTATTGGAATATTGGTTGAAAGTGGGAGATTGGGAGATCTTGTGTTGAGATTTTGTTTAGATAGTTTGGATAGAATATCTTAATACTATCCAGAAAAATGTTGTGTTGAGATTGCATATGATGAAGTGCAGCTGCGTTGATGTTGTGGTCAGATATCCTAAAACTGTCGATCCTATCAGTCATGACTTATAAAATTGTCAAGTCAGGCAACTATTTTAAGTGGTGTCATTTTAAATTTTCTGTCAGTCAGGCAAATTTTTCATAACTGCCATTGCCACCTGTTTTCAGCATTTCTCTGGGTTATTATATGGTCATTCATCTATTCTGTAACATTTTTCAGTTGACAGTCCAGACTTCAAGGCAGGAGTGATGTCATTAGCCACCATGTTGAACATCCCACCACACATTGATCACAGAATAGTGCTCAAGGTAAGAAGTGTGTGTGTGTGTGTGTGTGTGTGTGTGTGTGTGTGTGTGTGTGTGTGTGTGTGTACGTACATGCACACTGCAACCGGACTTTTTTTTCAGAGACTTGTTGTGCATTTTCTTTAATACATGATTCACAAAAATAATGATTTATTCCCTGACCAAGAATGTAGCTAATATGGACATTGTGTTAGTAACCAAGCATCAGCATGAATGCACATGTTTGGTAGCAGTATGAAGAGAAGAGTGAAATGACAGCAAGGGTGACCACCAAATTGATGGAGCATGCGAGCAGTCTTAGACCATGTGAAACCCATTTGGCCTACTACCTGGACAACAAACACATTGTAAAGAATGCAACACTTATTTCCCTTCATGTCATCCTGAGACTTCTCTGCACCACCACAATCCATCCAACATTCACAAAGATCTCCTTTTGGTCAAGGTTCCTCTGGGTCCTCTGTATATTTCCTCTTAAGTGACCCATTGCAAGTGGCTTGTTACTTGGGAAGCAACAGGATTTCTGATTGTTTTATTCTGTCTTAGATTTTTAAAATTATTTTTTCAGGCAATTAGTCTTTTGATTACTGAAAGACTCTCCAAGCAAGGTCTACAGGCTAAAGACAAAACAGTTGTAAGTTTGCTACATGTACCACAGCTTTATACATAGAATTTATAATTTTATTATGATATGATATAATATGTTACATTCTGTCACCTGTCATGACATTTTTTATTGTTTTTGTTTTTGCTATTGAAAGTTGAAAAATGACTCATCTATTTTTTGTTTTTTTAAGCTTTTTTTTTTTTTTATAAGTCATTGTGTTAAGGTTCTGTTATGAATTTTTTCAACTATTCTGCCTCATTTAGCACTCATTTTTATGTGGATTAGAAATGTGCCCATATTGATAATTTACTGTCTTTCTTCTTCCAGGACCCTGGAATAACAATGGACAGTATTGATTTAGGATTTGAAGCACCAGGTATTGATTTATTGGCTTTTGTTCATTGATTAAATGGATACACATCTCTGGGTGAATTGATAACCATCTCATTGGTTATAGTTAGTGTTTGTAAAATTCAAAAGCTATCTAATTTGTTTTCTGGATAGGTATAGATAATAAGAAAATCAAGTGCCTGTAACAGTAATAATTTGAAAAATAGACATAAGACCTTTGCTATTCACTTTTCTTTAATTATCCGTAAGTTGTAACTGGTTAGTGATTTAGAACTAAATTTCTTAGTTAGGAATGGTATAAAAATATAAATCCATGTGCAGGGGTGGGTTGAGTGATGATTTATGAGCAGGAAAAAATTGCATTTTGGGATGGCGTTGGAGATTCAATTTGGCAAGGAAACCAGTGATAGGAAACCTTTAATGTGTAGACTATTTTTATTTCTTTCAGACTATATCAGCACCGAGGCTGCCAAGATTTTACGTCTTCTACATATCAAGGAACTACGAGAGCTCCAATCTCAGATCAACCAAGCCATTGTTGCTGTGCAGGCCATCACAGCCAATCCCAAGACTGATCAAAGGCTGGGGAAAGTGGGCCGATAACCTTGATAGAGGATGTTTAAGAGAAGTTAAAACATGTTGATGTTAATGAGCTTTAACTCCAATGCCATTGTTTGATTTCTTGAGCTTATCTGGAAATTTAATTTGATGATGGTGATGATGATCATGATGAAAGAATCCTGGCACAAAGTTTTGAAAAGTTGGACGGAAGCCTTTATACATATCATAGGTTTCAGTCTGGACCCGCATTTTTAGCTCCTTGTTATGCTCTGTAGAATTCAATTAAAGATCTAGAATTCCTTCCGCACAATATAACATGCTGATGCTATTTCTCTGCCATTTTCATTACTATTATAGGAACTCCTTCAGTCATTACATAGTTAAAGATTTTTGTACTATGTTTGAAATTATTTCATGATTTTTTTAAAGTTATAAATGGTATTTGCTGCCATTCGTTTTTTCTCCAGAACTTGACTGGGCAGATGTTATATAATTGACTATTTTGAGGTATTGATTAATTCAACAGAGCTATATGTTTTGCAATGCAAATAGTTATCAGATTTTTTCACTTTTCTGCATAGTAAAGCATATCGAGAAGTGGCCAGTTTATAATCATTTGCTAGTAGATTTGGGGCATTTGATTTTATTAACCAGTTTATTTATCATCATTTCCACTTTTCTGTATTGGAAAACGTATTTTTGTCATGTTCTTTTGTTAGAGTCGTCACAGTAAAGAAGCGAACTAACAGAAGATGATAAATATTTATTAATTTCCAGCAGTCTTACCTTTACCATTGTTATTTGTTAGGTTTATGCCATTATCATGTACGTATATTTGCCTTTTATAATAAAGGGTATTGAATGATTCTGAGAAAACTGATGTTGTTTGTAATGTTAATCCCAACTCTATCATTTAAATTATGTAATATACTCTGCTGTTCTTTATTTATTCAATCATTCTCAACGTAAATTTTACTTTGAAATGTATTATCACCCTGCTTTCACCACAGGTCAGCGTTTTGCCACCTCCACTTGTCATACAGTCTGCTGTTGAGTATTTGATTTCCCTCTGTACATCCCGTAGAACATAATGCTGTCGACTGCGTGGTGTTCCTGATCTGAAGTTCCTGCTACCCCTCGCCATCACTTGCGAGCCAACGCGGTGTCCATCTCAGAGTCGTTTGTGGGCCACCCTTATGACAACATTAATCCTTGGACCCCAAGTCGAATCCTCAGCGATAAACGAAATGTCACCGGCCAACCGACTACTGTAGCTTTGGGGAGGGGGGAGGTATTGACTTTAAAATATGTTGTCCAACGTCGGGCACCAATAACATGGTATCTTAGTGCATTTCAGCTGATGTGGATTGTAATAAATACTATTTTGCATTGTTACTGCTGCTTACTCTCAAACTATGGCTTTTAAAGCTGCGCATATTATTAACAGTCGAAGGATATTTAATCTTGTAATGTGTGAATCTGATGATAATCTAAGCTGAAAAAAACGCTTTTTTTTTCATTCCTGTATGAAAATTACAGTTTCCTAGTTCGCTTGCTGTAACACTTGGAAACCCCATCAATCAACATAAAGCAATTATTGTCCGTAGGTCGAAATGAACTGTTTGATTTTCTCGCAAGCTAGTTTGTGATTTTCTTTGAAAATGCCTGAAATAAATTAAAAAGTATGTTTTTGGTTTATTTCTCGTAAACCAAATGTTTACTCTATTATTGTCCAATCCACCTGCTCATAATCAACAGTATATAATAAATAAATAAACGAAAAAATAATACAGGTCGATATGCAATTTTAGGACATACTTTTAAAAATTGCCGATTTTTACAGAGAGGCCTTTTAATATTAAGTAGAACAGAAACGCTATTCTTAAATACTCATTTTAATGTTAAAAGCATTTAAACAAAAGATGTTAACAAGCGTGGTACGTAAAATACCTGGTAGGTTAAAGAAAACGTGTGTCACTCCTTGCAAGCACAAGACTTCCACGGGGACTCCGGCATCTTTTAACTTCTTCGCGTAAGCTGAAAATAAAGACAGCGTGGATTAATTTCGATATCTTGCCAATTTATCACAATTTTGCTCCCTCTCTCAGCTTCCTTCAACTTCTAAATCCCATTGTATGATGTAAAGTATTTTTGTAATTTCTCATAAACGCCAAAGGAAAACAAGTGCATGAAATCAGGTCAACCCTCAGCAATCGGTTTTAACTCGAATGTTTTAATGGTGAGCAAATGTGCGGCGAAACTAAGCATGTCCTTTTTGTAAATCTAATTTTTAAGACTAAACGGGGCGGATGCTTCATGTAGAAAAACAATAGTCATTTTCTCACTTATCAACGGATATTTTCTTTCTTTCCCTTTTTCCTTTTCTTTGCTTTTTTACATCATTCAGTATTTAATATCAAAGATAAAATGGAACGGAAGTTTGAGGAAACAACATTACCCATTCCTTCATCTATCAGTACGTCGTGACTAGCGGCAATGTACAGGGCCGGAGGAAGATGGTTGAACTTCTCCCTAAGTAGCGGGGAGGCCAGCGGGTGACTCCGCTCGGATACTGAATTAAAAGTGTGATTCGCAAACCTGAAAGTAAAGTTAAAGGTAAGGACAAAAGATCTCGTATAAAACCTGATGCCCGCAATAAACAAGATGTACCAACTTTTATATATTACCCCTTGTGTATATTGATGTGTTCATTAAAACCTGAATCAGTTTGGGGAGCACATAAGTAGAAGTTATTTGAAAAATCGAGTGCCGAACTGCCATTCATAATAATCACTACCATGACCAGATGCTTTTTTAAATGTTTGATGGAGTCAATGTATGCTGGTTGATATTTATTTGAAGTCATATAAATACATATAGTACATTAAACTACTACAGAATGTTTTCATGAATATTATTATTTTCACGTGGAGATAATTCAATTTAATTCAATCTTGGACGATTACAATCGTTTTACTGGTCCTAAGTCACATTGACGGAACGGGAATAACATTGAAGGGACAGTTTCACCATTAAAAATCTGTCAAATTATTTTTCCGTATGGTTACTTTTTAAAACTTTGCCTGTTCTGTTGCGGTACATGTAGTATAATCAATAGAATGATTGTCTTTTACGAAGCTGTATATTCAGTTTATTAATTTTTTTCTTTTTATATATATCTGCTCATTATTATGTTGTCAAAAACCTTACCACTCCATCTGCTTCGCAGACATGAAGTATCCAGTGGCGAACTTCTTGTACGACTCAGTCCCTCCCCTCCAGTCGGTAACGGGACATATGAGTATCTGGGAAATAATACGAGCACATTTCTTAAAAATGCACGAAGGAATATGTCTTTTATCAAATTAGTATGTTCTTCTTCCCAAAGCATTATAGTTGCAAAAAAAAGTTGAAAAAACATCGGTTAAAATCATTATTTAATACATGTGCCACTCAAATATATCTAATATAATAGAGATTTACATTTAAAAATCCATAATTTCTTTAATTATACTGTTTAAAAAACGTGCTAGGCGCTGTATGATGTTGTATGTCCTGAGTTAAAACTAGAACAAACACGGCAACACGATTTCCTTGTAAAGTCTTACCTGGAGCGCAAGTCCAGGAATGTCGTGAGCAAGAGAGGCGGAAAGGTTACCCCCGGCACTGTCGCCCATGACGCCCACCTTGCTATCTTTACTGCCCCCTAGGTATTAAAAGTAATTCTCAGCGTTTCTCAAAATATCAATAAGTATACTGGGGTCTGTTTCACAAATAACCTTTAGACCAAAAGTCTAAACTGTAAGACCAATATTCAAGTTCATTCTGACACAAGATAAACCAAGATGATATATTGTGCCTGTAGAAATGACTGCTGTTTTGGACCAATAGCTACTATATTTGAATGGACTTCAGATTTATCCCAAATCGAAGTAAACTAAAATAAAGGTTCAGAAGTTTAGACAAACTTTTAGTACATGTCGCCAGTTATTTTTGATCAGGCCCCTCAGTATAGCACAGTAACAAAGTGTCAAATTGTTATGTGACTACCATGTTATATTTGGTTCAAACATTTTGGTTAAACATATCTAGCAGTTTGTTTAAAGGGAAATCTAAGAGTGGGCGAAGCAGTTAAGTAGATTCTTATGGAGCTGATTTTGATAAAAGAGACGAGATTTTCTTCACTGAAGTGTTTGCTGTTTGTTACTTCCCTCTTGGCCCTAAAGATATTTATCATTTGTACATGTATGTGTGCGATCTGATGAGCCCTAACACTTCAAATCAAATCTGGAGCATCTTTCAGATCAACAATGTCATGCGCGCTTGAAGTGTATTTTTATTTAAATATTCATTCAAAATTACCGATTAATTCCTTATTTGCAAAGACCCATTTAACCGCGGTTTCTGCGTCATCAAACGCCGCTGGAAACTTGTGTTCTGGCGCTCTTCGGTACTCCACGCTCACCATTATACATGCCGCCAAACTGTGCAAACAAAACAACTGTACGTTATTCTTCGTTGGGTTGGGTGAAACATTCTTTCAAGACCGCACAACATCCTTTTGCAGTTTTAGACGTAACGCAACATTTCCATCGGAAAAAGAGAAAAACAGTATTGAGCCAAGTTGCAATGTTTTGCATTTTTACACCATCAAAACCGCAGCCAGAACATGACGACTCCCGTTTAGCCAAGTCACATAATCATCAAAACTAGCAAAATCTTCATTAGTTTACTACATGCAGATTATAAAATCCGTTGTGTCCTGGTAGATTACCGAAACTTTCAAGTTGATAAATGCATGCCCCGTAGTATCATATGACCCACATTGTACTGAAACTCACTCTGTCAGTATCTTCACCCCGATTTCGTGGGTCTTCCTATTGCCAATAACAAAGCCTCCCCCGTGGAAGTACACCAGTATGGTCGGCTTTGGGGGGCAGGGGACCGGTCTATACACCCATACTGGTAGGTCAGCTGGAACGAAAATGGTTCTGTTGCCAATTACTAGGGGTTGCTTGATGGCTCTTCACCTCTACATTGATTGGACCAAAAGTGATATAGTTGCGTTTTGTTTTACCATTCTGCACCCTTAATTTCAGGGTAGATACATATACATGTAGGAGACTCATGTCTCTACCATATATATATATATATATTGCTATAGCAATTGTTTCACACACATATATATATATATATATATATATATATATATATATATATATATATATATATATATATAGTTTGCAAGAGAACTTAAGGCTGACATTTGGCTCCAACTATAATATTAATTTTTCTTTAATACACCTAAAAATCTGTGACAATGTGGAGAATTTTTGCAAGAGCGCACATGTGCACAGGAATACGCAAAATACATTCAGACATAAACTATGATAAAGACAGGCAGACACAATGTAAAACAGAGAGAGAGAGAGAGACTCAGAGAGAGTCACTGAAGCAGACAGACAACTGGTCGATTCATCACAAATAAAGTGACCGCAGCCATCATGTGAGTCTACCTTCGCCTTGAGTGGAGGGTACCGTGTACTCCAACCTTTCTCCCCTGAACTGGTACACGTAGCCGTCGGAGTCAAGAGGGTCATCCCCTTCGACCAAAATACGTGCCTCTTCTACAGTAGCGGCGTCCTCGTAGCTTATCTGATCGCTTTTCGCCTCGGCTAAGAGAAGGGCCTGCGTCTCTGGATGAAGCGAGGCTAGATCATCAGGGAGAGGGAGAGGCATAGCTGTAGCCTACATGTTCCTATACAAAACTGCACTTATCTCTCCACGACGGGTTTTGTGTGCTACCGAGTAATAGGCCTTCGGAGATAAAGTAGGGCAAATAGAAATCGTTTCCTTTATCTTGCTGGCCGGCAATAATCGGACGAAGTTGTTTCAGATTACCTAGATTAGGGGAGACCGGGGCTAGTTGGCCCAGTTAGACACTTATGGCCTTGTAGAGCCAACTAGGAATGAGTTAGAGTAACAAAACCGGTTTTAAAGTAAGCCTCATGAACTAATACGTATGCAATGTCATTATTTTTCAAATTTAATGCCTGATGGCTCACAATTTGACAAAAAATCGCAGTTGACGTCAGGGGGGNAATTGGTTGACAAGAAAAGGTTGATTCAATGTTGAAATCCTGTTGATCTATCAACATTGAAAATTGATAGACAAAGAAAGGTTAAAGCAATGTTGAGATCTTGTTGATCTATCAATATTGATGGATCAACATCATCTCAACCTATCCTCAATGTTGAATCAACGTTGAGTGCCCGCTGGGTACTGGCAGCGCGAGCCAGTTACTATAAGTTACTATAAGTTGGCCCCCTACACAAAAATGAAGTAAATATCCCAAGTAAACGCCTTGAAATACATTTTTATACATTTTTAATTTATTAAATTGATTTTTGAGAGTCTTTGATGAACAAATAGTTCAAATGAGGCAGATTTATTGAGGTTTCCGTACGTCACGTTGTAGGGGGGGTGGGGGCCTATGTGTTGCAAGAACCAAAATATCTATCAATAAAATTTGTTTTGTTTTAATAAAGAATAAATTAATAATGGTATAAAGACGGTTTTTAGTTAATGAAAACGAATAATAATTTTTTGTTTTAAAAGAAAGTAACAAACAATTTGTTATATTCGATCAAAAGACTATGAAAATAGATTTTTAAATCTCTTAAACAAAATTACTTTTAGGTGCAAAAATCGTTTATTTCGATTCACCGCTTAAGTAAAACTTTTTAACGTCCGACACTTCCTTAGCATTGTAGGCTAAGGTCACTTTACAAGAGTATGTGGCCATTTTTTTTACTTCTTAGTTACTTTTTTATAAATTGACGGGGGGGGGGGGGGGGCAACTTACCCCGGGGTCCAACTAGCCCCGGTCTCCCCTAGCTTGTAGACATGTAGGCCTACAAGTTCGTAGGCCTACGTGCCATGAACCAAATACAGAGGGTCTTAATTTGGTCAAATGAGGTGAGTATGATAGAAAAAGAATGGGCGAAAAGTGTTTCATCCATCAACTAACCGAAAAATTAAACTTCTTCCTGTCATCGCTTGGAACGTGTTTTTAAAATGATGGCGTCATCGTCTATTTACACATGTAAATAACATTGGCCCGTAGCCAGCAATTTCAGGGGGGGGGCGTTTTCTGAAAAAGTGGATCTTTTACCATAAAATCCTCAAGTTCATAGATCAAATTTTACCCAGAGTGGATCTTTTCCCAGCCAAAAGGCTGTTTTTTTCGCCCCCCCCCCTCCGGCTATACGGGCCTGTAACACTAGTGCCCAAGGGCTCTCGTAGCCTACTCCTTGTTTTTATTAAATGAAAACCTAAAAATGAAAATTTAAAAAAATATATGCATAGAGTGTACATTTGATCATTGCATGGATATCATTTAAACTTCAAACATTATGCAATGAAATTTATAGGGCCTAGTAGGCCTACAGTATGTAGCAGTTATGAGCCAAATCCATTGTGATAGTAGGCCTAGGCCCTAATGACCGCCGTGCCAGTTCTATCTGTGATTGTGATATTTCATAGAAGTCTTCATACAGACAGTACTAACGAGTAGCTTGATTAAAAACGTTTCTCGAAGAATATTTTTGTATTCAAAAGAATTTTAGTGAATAATTTTCTCTTTCTTTCTCTATAGGTGTATATGCTTAGCACCCTGAGCTTCAGAGATAACTTGACACTAACCTCTTCACTATAGCCTATCTTCATCGTGTCAAGTTACCTCTGACGAAAATAGTTTGACCTAGTTTATATAAGCCAATCGAATCCATGTTTCAAAATTTTTCACCAAAGTTTGGTGAAAACGCTGATTGGTTGACCGTCAATCGGCAATCCTCGGCTGATTCCGCAAGCTCCATACTAACAACATAGTTTTTGTCGAGTGCGGAGACATCCGAGTAGTTCCGAGTGCATAACCGTACACAAAGAAAGCATGGAGTATATTGGAATTGAAACCAGAGAGTTTGATGCCCTGCATAATTATCTACTGAGGGATGATGTATTTTGCGTGCTGCCCACAGGTTACGGCAAGTCCCTGATATTCAGCCTTATCTTTGATTGGTCCGGATTTGAACAAAGCGCGCTTTGACTCGTTCGCGTTCATTGGCTAGATCGTTCAATGAGTCATTGAGTGCGGGCTTTAAATTTGATTGGCGGGCGGCGGAGGCAATCGAATGTGGTCAGAGGTAACTTGACACGATGAAGATAGGCTATAGTGAAGAGGTTAGTGTCAAGTTATCTCTGAAGCTCAGGGTGATGCTTAGAGGCGGGTCCAGGATTATTTGAAGGGGGTGGGGAGGGGGTACGCGAATGCGAAGCCGCCCCTCCCCCCTCCCTTGGCTTGGTGTTCGGGCCCGCTGTAAATGGAGGAGTGTGTAGTCAGCTGTGTCGCTGCCAATTAACTGCATGACTACCATGTTTGTAGCACTGTTGCATTGGGTAATATGCAGCGATTTAATTAGGTAGTGCTCCTTTGGGCTGGTCAAAGCTTGGCTACAACATGAGCATATGATCTGTGCGACCTTGTGGTAACCAGTCGGCAATCGATCGCTAGAGTCCTGCAACCGGCGTAACAAACCTGAGAGTCCGTGTAACAAAAAGTCTGCCCTCCATTTAGGTCATTTAGGTATAATGGTTAGGGTTAGCTTGAACTAAGTGGGTCAAAATTGGCTTGTACAAATGAATGGAACGCGGACTGTCTATCATGAGGGACTCGCTGGCAGTTGCAAGTTACATCGGTTTTCAATTATTTAGTGGTTGCTAACAAGTTGTGAATCGCTCGGCGAACGGTGCGCAACTAGTTACCTATAGGCAGAAGACGGTCTTCAGAGGTTGCAGATACCATATTGCAACCGGTGTGCAGTAGGTTGCCGATCAAAATATGCCAAAGCTAGGCCTATATATTCACCTTGCAAAGTGGTTGCTAAAAGGTTGATTTTGTGGTTGCTGAACGGTTGCCAAAAGGTTGCAAGCGCAGTGTGACACAGGCTTAACGATGTTCTTATGCTAGACTTAGGGTGCTTTCCCAGAGATTTAGATCGATCTAAAGATTAAGATTTAGATCGACCTAACTCCTTGGGGGTTCACGCTAAATTGCAGTCAGCCGAGCGGGCGCCATAGTTAATTACCCCCTTACAGTTTTTAGTAGGCGGGACAGACGCTTAAGCCGGCCAAGCTGACAGTAATCTAGTGAGACTCCCCACAGGGATAGATCGATCTAAAATCTATGGGAATGGGGTCTTAGATGAAGAACTCCAAGAAGGGGCTCTAGTACGAAAAAATGGACACACAGATTTTATTCCACGCTCTTTCTTCTTTTTTAAAACCTATTTTAATGTGTTTGTATTTATCTCTAAATCAGAACACACTCTGGTCATCAGCGACTTGTTGTAGAATGTCTCTGTTCATCCGATACATGTGCCATTTCTCTTCTTCTGTAATGTCATATCCCCCAAACTTTCGATACATATTGATAGCTGGCTTGTTCCAGTCAAGCACGCACCACATCATCCGTGCGCATTTGTCCTGAACAGCCGCCTGAAAAATATCAAGGGTGGCACGTGAATAATAATAATAATAATAATAATGAAGGAGATGTAGAAGAAAAGAAACGAACAAACAGTTTCAATGATAAATGGTCTATGGTTCTGGACATGTAGGCATAAAGACTACATAATGCACCAAACTGCACAATTTATGAAAAATTTCAGGAGAGTTTAACATGCATTCACGTAACTGGTATGCGCTTTTATTTCGTTCTTTTTCTCTTTTTTTAAAAAAAGATGAATTATAAACAAAACCAGTGAATCGTTACCTTTGCAACTGCCCTGAAGAGGGCAGCGCCTGTACCTTTACCACGATAGGCCGGTGTCACGTACAGATCTTCCAGGAACATTGACGGCCCTTCCCATGTCGAATACGTTAGATAATACAAAGCATATCCAACAACTTTCTTCTGTGGTTCAACCTGTTTAGACTCGGCTGTTTCAGCTACTTTACATTTGAAGAAGACGTGGGGACCGAAACCGTGATTGGCAAGCTCTGAAATATTTTAATTTTGTGGAATATTTTAATTTTGTGAAATATTTTAATTTTAAAACCCTTCATTTTTCATTCAGTAACAACCATTCATTTTTTCTATTCTAATTTAAATTCGTCTTGTGATCTCGTTCACTGATAAATTCATTAATGGAATTATGTTGGGAAAGTTTTGAGAAAATATCTCAGCTGAAATTTATGTCTTCAGGGCCTTGTTCTGCGGGGAGGGGCAGGGGGAGCAAATGTCCTATCAGAGAGTATTTTTGGGATATATAAATGTATTTGGAGGAGGTGGGTGTCTTTAAACAGGGTTTTATTTAGATTTTCCATCTCTCAGTCCATTGGGATTTTGTAGAGGCTAGATGACGGATGCAGGCCCGTAGCCAGCAATTTCAAAAGGGGAGGGGGGGGGGGGTAAGAAAAAGTGGACCTTTTACAATGGAACCTTTGTGTATTCAGCTAGATCAAATTTTACCCATAAAAGACCCTTCCTGACAAAAGGCGGTTCTTTCGAACCCCCGAACCACCCCCTGGCTAGACACAGACAGCACTTCAACTAATAGCCCACCCCCGCCTACTAGCATATTTTCCTCAGCCTATGGTTTTCACATTACATATATTAAGTTCTAAACATCATTCATTTCAATACTTTACTAAAAAAACTTAAAATAACAGCCATGGTAAGGGAAAATATATATATTCAATTGATGTTACTCTACCTTCATGCGTAGTTTTTACACCATCTGGAAACTTCTCAAACTGAGCGAGTTCCTGTAATGAAGCAGATATTTCTTTTCTATAAGGAACAAAAGTTTAAGAGATAAGATGACTCAAAGTAGGTTTGAATTTGAAGAACAAATTTTGGCGAGCGTCACTTTAAATCATTATCTTCTACGTCCCTTTTTTTTTAGAAATCCATTACCGTTATTTCTAACTGTTTTTAATTCATGTATAAGTCCATTTTCTAAATGTGTTTTGAAATAAACCTTTGTTGAACAAACTCAAACTTGCAAGACGTCTTGGCACGTGACACAGGGGCTGCGCATCAATCTGCCTGTACACTAACCAATCAAAGGGTTCTTTCACAGTGAATATTGTCGACCTAGCTAATGAGGACCAACTCCACTGGGACTCTCGCTGAATGCAATCAGATAAACTGACCAGTTTCGATTAACATCTGCCACAGTCGGTACAAATGGCTTATTTGCATGTATAGGAGTCACTGGTATACTGTGGGCCTTCAACAGCTGTATTTTCTCAGCCTACAATCGAGGCTAGCTACGGCCAGGTTATGATCAGGACCCTACACGTACATGTTCTCTCGATTAGTGCTGTTGTACTGCGGACTACTTCTGATCACTTGACCCTATATTTTCGCTGAGCGTTTAATTATTCACAAAGCTCACCTTAATCAAGCCATGAATAGCAACACAATCCTCCCTCACGGCATCACGTATGATCACTGACATGTTTAAAACAAGCTGGGCCGCTACCTGGGTACAGTGCATTGACCTAGATTCGTCATCATAAATTCAACACAACTTACATTACGGTAATACTGATCGTTTAGAGGTAATCCAAGTGCAATATAATACCGCGATCTTTCAAAGGTAATTCAAAACAGTACGTATTTCAATGGCGACACGGTTTTGACAGGGCGTATTACGTTAAAAATTTTCCTTATCGACGATATAATGCGGCTTTAAACATTGTCTTATATAATGGGATTTAGGGCCTAAAATGCTGTCGCTTTTATAATACGGCTGATAATACGTCAGGGCAAATTTGCGCATGTCAGCTGATATCGTAACACCGACGGTTATTGGTAAAAAAACTGTGATATCGCTTTCAAACTGATCCCCCTCACCTGAACAGCTAGTTTTGGCTATCAACTCTTTTTAACTTTAAATTACTTATAACAACTAGGCTTAAAATTGATCTAGTTTCAAACGGATTTTCTAGCTAACTCGAGCCTTAGAGTTTTGAGCATAAGTTAACGACTCCAACCACGAATTAACTATCCCAACGCAAAATTACTCGCCACAAGCACAGTACTTCATAACCAAACCGCTCATCCGTTCATCTACCCGTTTGGTACGTTCCGTATGAGCCGACCGGAGATTGTCGAGAACGCATTGCTGTAGTATCAAAAGAACACGCAAGGGTCTTAGACCCCATTTCCAGAGATTATATCGATCTACTTTAGATCGACCTAACTACCTGGGGGTTCACGCTAAATAGCTGTCAGCCGAGCGGACACGAAAGTTAATTACCCCCTTACAGCTTGTAGTAGGCGGGACGGACATTTAAGCCGGATTATCTGACAGTAATCTAGTGAGGCTCCCCGCGGGGATAGATCGATCTAAAAGCTCTGGGAATACAGCCTTACCCTTACAGACAGAGACCCGAAGCTAGAAGCTGGCCAAATTGTTTAGGTAATAATGAAATGCAAATCTTGTGTAAGTCGTTCTACTGTTTGTGGCTGAAGTCCTTAATTTCTTACCCTAGGTTCTAGATTCCGGTATTGCCAGCTCGATCTTGATTTCATATATAACCCATAGTAGCAATACCAGGTAAAAGTAAAAGCGACTCCACCACAAGGTATATTTAAGCCCCCTTTACACTGGACGGCGTCCCTTCTTGCGTCCAGCAGTTCGGCCCCATTTGAGAGTTAAAGAATTATAATACTTTACGTGCCGACAACTGGCCGATCATTGAGCATTCATTCTGATACCAAATCAATGCTCGTGCCTCCTTATTACGACCACAGCGATGCCAAATTTCATGGTCGCAGAAAGGACGCAGAAAGGACGCCGTCCAGTGTAAAGGGGGTATTAGCAAGCTAGCTTTTACGTTGCTCTGACACTCAGGGTATAATTTCTGCATTTGTATTCCAAATTTAAGGCTAGTGCTAGAAAAGGGCAAATATCGTTTAAGAGGCCCTAAATTTGTATGAATTTGGAATTGCTTTTCGTTAATTTGAGCTGCTTTTAGTAAATTTTTGGTGATACCTCCCAGAATTAAGTTGGTTTTAGACCATTATTCACGCTTGACCGAACTAGGCTAACAATCTCACAAGCAAGAAGTTGCTTCGGTCATATTTTATACCCTAAAGTTGCCAATATACAACAGTAATGTTACCGTTCTGCTTTTCCTCAACAATAAAGAATAAATGTTTTTGCCAATAAATATTTTTGTAAGGGTGTTGTTGTATTTCAGTAGTCAGCTATTACAGATATGTATTAATTCATTTATTTGCTTGTTCATTTGAATGGAAATAAAAACTTCTAAAAATAATATTAATATTTATACTGTTTTTAAAGGAATTTACACTTTTCCTCATAAAAAGCAAATGTAACGCCGTTTATTTCACAAAAGCAGATAAATGCAAGGAAGACGCAGCAATCTTTTCATGAATAAAAAGCTTGATTTCCAAGTAAATGCCTCTACCTTATAATGCTTTTTTCAAAGACGATTTAATTCCAATCACCATGATAAACCGTACGTAATATACACGTTAAACTAGCACTTTGATCCGTGGATCTGTTAGAGCGCATTCAGCACAAGTTGATCCGCGGACTAAATATGGCCGACTAACTAAAAAGCAATGCCGCTATAATCTCATGCTGTTCTCCCCGCCTCTACACGCGCCGTCGCTGCAGGGGGCCTAGAAATTAAACCTCAGAGTCAAGATTTAATCCGGGAATAAAGCGGATTGCTTTTAAGCGGGGTCGGCCAATCTGTCCTGAATATGCTCTGTGTCACTTCATATTTTTTTATCAAAATGCACTCTCGCTTGCAACTTTCTGCAGAGTGTCTCCTTTCATGCAAAACGTGCGCAATTGCTCCTCTTTAGTTATATCACTTCCGCCTAATTTTTGGTACAGCTCGATAGCTGGTTTGTTCCAGTCAAATACTCTCCACGTCATAACCGCGCACTTTTCTTCGATAGCCGCCTGAAATATAAATTCAACGTAATAAATATTAAAGCAGCTGAATCAGGATAAGGGTGTAGTGTGAGCTACTTGCTCAGCCGCTTTTTCCAATACAAAATGATGAATCTCTCCACCCCTCCTTTTTAAACAATGGGATGAACACAAAGTATGGCCAGCTGATTAAAGTTTAAATTGGATGCTACGAAATGACCCAAATTGCAATAATCTAATAACAAATCCAGTTTGTATGGACATCGTCCAAAGACATTTTAGCCCGATTGCATGTATTCACATTTGAAACCCATAGCTATATATGGCATGCTGCTGGATAGATAANTAATTGGTAGCGACACACCTGACTACACACTTCTCCATTCACAAATCTTATATGAGATCGGAGTTTTTTTTAAAAAAGAACGCATTTTTACCTAGACATACCTTCGAAACTGAAATATTCCATATTAAATGTCAAGTCTGTACATTGATTTATATTTACACTTTTTTAAAATAAATTTTCATTACTACTAATGTACTTCTAATACTCATTTCTACTATGCATTATAATATAATGAAACCGATTTCACAATGCTTACCTTGGCAACAGCCCTGAAGAGGGCAGTGCCTGTTCCTTTACCACGATAAGCCGATGCCACATATAGATCTCTGAGGTATACTGTTGGACCTTCTAGAGTCAAGTAGGTGAAATAATACAGCCCATAACCAATAATTTTCTTCTCAGTTTCACCTCGATTAGATTCTGTTGTTTCTGCTACTTTACAATAGAAGAAGGCGCGGGAACCGAACCCATGACTGGCAAGCTCTGCAAACATTGAAGGCTACAATTTTTAATATATATTGACTAATACATTTATCCCTTGATTCATCTATACACTGCTAAATACAGTTATTGATTTATGCTAGAGAAAGCGTCAAGATCTTAAAACATATTTAAATGGACATTTTAATATGTCTGATATGGTACCTTCATATGTAGTTTTTACACCCTCTGGATACTTTTCAAACTCGGTGAGTTCCTGTAACGAAGCAGAGATTTCTCGTATACAGTCTGTGCCAAATACTTTTCAAGTTACAGGCCATCCGGTCCACCTGGGTCTGGGGATCTACTGGCGGGAGCCCAAGGCCAATAAAATATTTAAATTAACACATTGAGGTTAAAGGCTGAATACAAATACGAACGCAAACATTGGATTTTGAAAAGGTTATTAAAAAGACTTCAACAATTAGCCTGAACATTTATAAAACGAACTGGAGTACAGGTTACAGCTGAAAAAATATCCATAAGACCGTTTGAAGTCTTTGAACCAGTAACTGACTGTTTTTTCAGATATTTCACTGGTTCGGTCCAATTTTTACTGGCAATGGCAGTTGGGCCAGTGGTTGACGTCGCAGACTGCGTATAAACATGAACTGGTATATAAGGCCGTGTCATCGTGCTTGATGACGTGACTATCACCTCGGCCCAGCTAGTCGCCAGAAAGAGCCCAGGTCCAGGCCCCGGTTTCACAAAAAACTTAACTCAGGTTTCAGGGCTAAGAACTTAATTTCCAAGGTCACATGGTAACATGGGCACATCCTACCCTATCAGCAGCAGTATAACAGCAATCTCATGGAGATCTTAGTCAACTAAACCAGGAAACCGACTGATTTTTTTATTATTGTTTATTTTTTATTATTTTTTTGTGAAAATGGGGCCAGGTGTCGAGCGATAACATGCAAAGCAATATATTGACCTTAACCAAGTCTACACAAATGTAACTGTACGTATGACATACAATTAGAATCTATTTGTTGATTGCCTCAGTTTTTAGACATGCTACGCAGGTTAAGCCTCATTCTAGTGTAACAAACTGTCGAGGCTTTATATGACGTCACCTACAAACCATGTGACGTTGGTAAGTGGTAGCACTGTGCGTTCATGTAAGTGCTTTGACGTTTCATTCGTCCAAAATAGTTAGATAAATAATATTACTTAATTGGTCGCCAAGATCTGTAAAACGTGTACGACTTACATTTTACAGGCTCTCTATATACACGTACTATTATTTTTTTTTAAACATATGATTATGCAAAATATATACCTAGTTAAGAAAATAGGACTGAGGAACAGCAGAGGATGATACGACTATCATTTGCTAGTTAGCGATAGATATTTCGGTTCTCAATGCTTTCAGTTATACATTCTATATACGTATATGGCTTTTTTTTTTGGTGCACACGAGCAGCCTGCATGCTGTTAACTTTTTCAGGGTCCGTTTTCTGATCAGGTGGTATCATTAATGTATTTCATCTGTTGCTATGCTCTTTACATTTCAGCAAGAAATGAGTTTCAGTTTTAATTTCAGCGCATTAGGAGCACTTGACGACTTTGGCAGAGTTTTTGGTGATGTGTAGTGACCCCATTCAATTCCTAGGTCTTGATCAGTAACACGCATTTTCGCAAGAGTTTTTATTTCAAATTCAGAGGCTTTCATTGAGATTAAAAACACTAAAATGTTATCAAACTGGTGCATGAACCGACACATTTAAAGAACACTAAACACTATTAAATACAACTATATGCTACAAGGTGGTGACGGAGTACACAGTTTTGCCAGGATGCGAATATTTTTAGCCTCGGGACACAGGGTAGAATGAGGTCCTACATTGTACCTGCGGAAGACAGCTAGTAGCGCTTAGCAGCTATTTTGTCGCACTGTTCACCTCGTCAACGTTGACTGCTATAGTTTAGTTGTCTTATAAGGAATAAGCAATATTCACCTTAATCAACCCATGTATAGCAGCACAGTCCTCCCTCTTTGCGCCTCGAATGACCACTGACATATCTGGAATGATGTGGCGACGATGGGGATGAGGTTTGACCCAGTTTTCTAAATGATTGTGAAATATAGGTTATCATGAATCCTATACAGTATTCTTTAACAACCTTGAACTTCGGTCTAGTAAATTTCCGACTCGTTACGAGCAATGCCTAGTCATGGTTTTTAAAGAAACGGCCCGTATTACAAAAACACTTAGAGTGAAAATTGCCGTGTGCCAAAAAAATGCTGTAGCATAGTTTTTATCTCATAGTCAATTTCCTTCGAAATAAAATATTTTTTCTGCTACTTACGAATCGCTGTTCGACACGTCCTGAGTTAGATTGGATCTTTTCTTTTCTTTTTTTTAAATAGATATGTTAGTTTTAAATGAGTAGTCAGTCATTTAGACCGCTATAGCATTTCAGAAGGAAATGTTGTCAAAAGATACTTTTTTCTATCCTTTTAACGTCTGAATTAAGACAGATAAAAAGATTATCAGGATATGTATACGGACATTTTCAAACCCGGATAGTAAATTGTTGAAGTATGAAGGGTTTATCTTATGCTGTATATTTCATTTCATTTATGTTGTAAAGAACGGAGGTCCAAAGATTCGCCGCCAATTTTTTTCAAGAAGATTCACATAAAATTCTATATAATTTTCAACTTAGTTTCCGTCCTGTCGCAGACTAAGACGTACAGTAGCTCCCACAGTCGCCCGGAGACTAATAGAATCTGTTTACCCCTTAATTCCATACAAAAACAATAAGTTCTTACGGGAAGTATCAACAAGTCAGATCCCGGGGATCCCTTGGATGCAGTTGTTTCGTGTTCCTGGCCAAGGAAGCAGCTACGGCACGGGCATATATGGGTGAAAAGCCAGCCGGATCCAGGACGTCATGCATGTAGCTAGTAGGCGCCGTCGATAGCTCGGAGCTGAGGAAGATAATGCTAGCCGAGTTCGCAGTGTTTCCCCGAGGGCCGGGGCAGTGTTTATGTTCTTATACCTTTTAGCTCCGTCCTTCGGAAGCGTCCGTTTGCGTGCAGTCACTGGAAAACGAAAAGAGACAGAGTGACGGTGAAGGACGTCCCGATCCTCGATCACGATTCTCCTCTAGGAAGCATCCGCTCTGCAGAGGAAACTTCCCACAAGATAGACGGGACTAGGGCGAAAAAAATGCGGGGAATGCTTCACGGAAGATTAACCTTGCTCTTTCCGAGCCAACGGTCGTAGGTTCCGGGTCGGCTGGGTTTACTGCCGCCAAGATGTCAAGTTATTTGAAACGGCAAAGGTATGCTATAGGCCTAGTGCAGACGTTTTTAAGTAATCTCTGTAGCTCGGGGGGGGGGGGGGTATCATCATGGAATCTTTATACATACTTTTCTTGGAATCGTGCGCCAAAAGACCCTTTCCCCCTCTTTCTGTCCTTATTCTTAGCTTGTGACGTTTCCGCTGGGTAATATGAGATAATCTTTCCTGCGGCGACAAGTCTGCTACTAATGTTATTAGGGGAAACTTCTAATGTCGTAAGAATATTGCAGCAGTGATACGTCCCATATCACTTGAAGCCTTCACGAAAACGGGACGTTTCTTTCCGGTGTCCTGATTCCTTGCTACATCCTTTATTTAAACACCATGTACCGGTTTCACACATACACAAAAAAGTTAAGTCGGGTTCCCTGGCTAAGAACTTAGTTACCAATGTTACACATGCGCACATCTTATCCTATCCGAAACAGTGTTATAGCACTCACAAGGAAACCCTGGTCAACTAAGCCCGGGAGCTGACTTAAGTTTTTTTCTTCTTATGAAACTAGGCCATATGCCTTCGCATGCCGCCATGAAAATACGAAAAAAATGATACATCTTTCCGTCGTCTTCTACATCTCTATTCTAATGACAAAGTTTTACTTCCCCGAATGTTGTATTATAAAAAGGCCAGACAACTAACAACACTTCAAAAGTTAGTCTGAAAATAAGCTGTTCTACACTTAATAAGCAGGATTTTTATTTCAAATTTTTAACCTATGAACGGTAAGATCAAAGTGTCAATATTTACGCTAATCATTAACTGTTATGTATAACTTTTCTTTTGCATGTTGTGCGGAAACAAACTCATGGTAAACCTTAATCGAATTTTAGACACTCGTACTGTTATTTCGATCTGACAAATCATTCTCTTTACATGTAGGAGCAATGTTGGTCTTGATACTGGTGCAAGTATTAGGGACTGTGATACAGCTATCTACACCATTCCCGTTGCCGTCCGGTAATCTGACCAGCCTTCGATGGAACATGCTATGTAGCCGAGGCGTCAAATTGGCACATATCGCACCAGAACCTGTCACAATATCGAACGAAACACTGGTTAACTTAGAGGAAGCGCTTAACGTATTTTTGGACTACACTATCCAGATATCTGATCTGTCGCAAAGCATCAAGGAAAGATGGGTAAGGGCACTGCGCAGATTGTCATAAATCGTTTTGAATGTATTAAAGAGCAAAAAAATTGAAGGGATTTTCTTTTCCTCACAATATTGTTTCATTGAAAAGGTCTATCTAGTAGTTTCGGTAAATCAATTGGCTCGTTGTACGAGGAGAGGCAGTTTTTCTTAAAATTAGAATTATTATTTGAGAAAGTGATCTAGAGATAGAAAGTAGTTCACTTATTTTATAGTTGCCGACGACAGAATTATCATTTCGGTATGTAACGGTAGCTGTTACCAGCATTTTGAACAATACAAGGTAGTTCTTTTTGTATCTTAGACTACATTCCCACAGATTTTTAGATCGATCTATCCCCCTGGGGAGTCTCACTAGATTGGTGTCAGCTTAACCGGCTTAAATGTCTGTCCCGCCTACTAAAAGCTGTAAGGGGGTAATTAACTGTAGTGCGCGCTCGGCTGACAGCAATTTAGCGTGAACCCCCAGGGAGTTAGGTCGATCCAGATGGATCGATCTAAAAGTGTGGGAATGCAGTCATAGTCTTGGGCCATCACAGTGTTAATTGAATATGGCTCAAATTGTGCCCACATTCAAAATATTTCGATCAAATGAACTAGCTATAGGCTTTTAATTTTAATGTTTTGGATGACCTGTAAACATTTGTGACCTTATGCGTTTCCAGTTGAATAATAGATATTACAGCGATGTGGACATTTTCAACAAAACACTGAAATCCTTTAAGTCACCACTGTCGCTGCCGAATCGGATTGATAACGAGGCCGAAAGACCAATGGTCAATGAAACGGGCATTTGCAATGTAAGTTGAAACCAAATGCAAAATTGAAAAAAAAGCTCCGATATGTTGACTTTGGTGTAGAATAACGCCAGTCGAAAATCTTTGTTTAAACTTTATAGAGACAGTTTAATGTTATATTTCTTTCTGTTAATTTCTTAATTTTTCATGTTTGAAATGGATTTAATTGTCTTTGGTGGTTAGTAATTTTTGATTATGCAGTACTATGTAACCTATTTCCAGGCTTCTTGCGCAACTTTTCTGAGAAATATATCAGAATCTATCCGAAAAGAGACGATGCACTTGGAGATCATTCGTGAACAAGAATATACCGAATATTTGAGACACGAGCAAACTGTAGATAGCACAGATGACAATCTTTTAGAAAACCTCCAGGGTCTCATGTACGACATAGTCTGTGAAATAAACCACTTCATAAATCCAACAGTTAATCCTCTGGTAAAGTTATACAGCCAAGAAAACATCACCGACAGATGGAAGAAACCGCTGACAAAAACTGAAAGGTACGCCAGAGATCTGAAGTTCATTCACCATGTTCACACTTTAGTTGCCAGTGTTAAGATCTTCTTTTCTTATGTTATGGCGGAGTTGTTTAGTTCTTTGGGAAATCCGTGGTTGATGTACTAATGTTTTTGCTTTGGTGACACCCACGTGGTCACACAAATATTGGTGCCAGACGGATACACTTGTTTGCAATGCGTTTGATCAAACTGTGATATGTTTTAAAGATTAAATTTAGATATTTACTTTTTGTTTTATTATATGGATTACCCTGAGTATGTTTACTCTGAGGGTCTGATTGGTGCTATAAGGAAAGTATCAAAGTGATGTTTATTGAAGATTGAAATATATAGACTATCAGGTGTACGCATCTACGGGTAAATTGTTGACAGATCCAATTTCGTTTTCGCCTTTTTTCACTTTGAAACATCTTTTTTCAAACACGGAAATTATATACTTTTAACTTTTTATTATTGTGATAAGTTACTACAGGGAAAATTTAATCGTTACGTTATGATTTTTTGACCGTTATTCGGTACTTATTCAAATATATTTTCGAGCTGTTTTATTGATTATAATTATAGACCTACTGATATTCTTCATGGTTTTATGGAAAATAAAATTCAAAGTTCACCTCATGTTACCTTCCATACTGTTCGCCAGTGTTGAATTGGAGATTAAGATGGATATGATCGCACTTATACTTTTAATATAATTATCTAAAGACATACATAGGGCTAATTAACGCTAACTCAACAGATTAAATTACGAGCGTCATACTTTCTGATCTCTAATAGCATAAGGGATACTAGCTTTTGGTGACAACGAAACTTCCTAGCTTGTGGACAGAAAAAACCGCGACTCACGAAAATCATGTCCTCTAATTCTTATTACAAAAATTAACGCCACGCTCAAAAGTGAGTCACTGTGATCAACAAAACTTCCTATAACACTATTTTCACTTCAATGAAAGATGATTTAAGGGATTCTGTCGAGAATATCTTTGGGGACCATTACCGCCCATTTATGCTTCAGCATGATTATGCTACCCACCCAACGCAACAGTAAGTTTGTTATATGGGAACCAGATCCAGACCCCCCCACCCCCAATTGGCCAGTTCAATCCCTAGATCACAACCTCATTAAATATGTGTAGGATATCTTCAGAAATGGATAACTAAGGGATAACCCTCCAAAAATGATTTCATATTATCTTTCTGTGGAACGCCATCACTGCGCAGCAAAACTTTTTGACTCAACACAATCGCTTCAGGTGGTTTTTCCAATCCGCAGGATACTACATACAAGATACCGAAAGATCTTGATTTTTTTCCTATGGAAAGTTTATTCGTTGATGGTACAAGCAGTAAATGTTTCTGAATAACTCCTTTTAGGAGTTGAATAAAGAACATTCATGAGATGATTTTCTGTACCACGTACTTTACCCATTGCGTTAGGGGTGACTTTTTTTTTGCAAGAGAAGGATAATATTTCAAGACGACAAAAGAGTAAAAAATAATTTCTCCTTAGATACTTTCAAGTATCTTTTTTTTCACGAATTCTCAAGAGATATTTGGAATAAAGTCGAAATATTTACCAGTGAATAAAGTTCACCATGAATGTAGCATATATCAGTAAAATTTAAAAAATAGAATAAATTCTTAAAATATCAGATGCTTTTACATAATAATAAACACAATTTACTTTAACGTATTCCACTTGAACGTAAACAGTATATAGGAAATTTATCTAAAAAGCCTATTGTCTA